CCAGCTTTTTTATAATAATAATAATAATAATAAAAATCAACAACAACAACATTGTGTGAATTGTTGTTTTGTGTGTAGTACATTTTTCACCCCCAGTCGTAAAAACATCTGCTATTTGGAGCGCGGGGGGTACATGACGTCATTAAACGTTGCTCTTGTACGGACAAGTTGAGATTCACCAACATTCCAAAAGAATTGGTCATGTCGACGTGATTCTAAGCGTCATATGCCAAATTATGTTTAACACCTGACAGTTATTTACGAAGAAGAATATTCAGAAAACAAATAAGAAAAGAAAGATGTCTTAGATTATTGAAGAAATTTGTTGGTGAGAGATCGCACACAGATTTGCGAAAACCTCCTGCTTGTCTCGTTAAAGAAATACTGGGTAAGTTTTGTCGATCTTACAAAGAGAAATGATTCATACAATGAACAAACAAAATATCTCTTGTCACTGTTGATAAGATAAAAATAAAAGACGAAGCTAGATATCAAGAGAGAAAATATGTTTTTAAAAAAAAAAAAAGAGAAAAATTAAAGTATCTTAAAAGTCAATAAAAATTCAAGATTTAAAATTAGTTTATTTTGAATTATTTGTTGTTGGGGCCCTAAAAGGTGCTAACGTTCATGGACAATTGGCTTTAGACAATAAGGGGTTCAATTGCCTGCAAAACCCTCTAAATTTTACTGCCGGATGGGTAATCATCAACCTTATTTTTAGACAAAGGTTTTGGGGAACAAAAAAAGAAAAAATATACAGCTGTATCTTAAATATTTTTGTTCAATGAATAAACAAAAACCTGGTCAGTAATAATTAAAAATTAGTTTTGAAAATTGAATTATTTGGGTTCTTTATATTCACTTTGTTAATCCATCTCTTCTCCTATCTATGGGTTAATTAGTAGGATTTGTATAAAAGGTGCTAACATTTAATCATCGGTTCAGAGAATGTTATCCTCATTGCTTTCAGTATCAGTTGGAATCAGACAGTTCTTAATTCGATCCAATAGAATAGCAATGTTAAGAGGTGGTTCCACTTATCCCCAGTTCTTTACTCGTTATTAAATGGTTTATTCACAAAACCCTTTTTTTCTCCCGACAAATCAGGCCTAAACAAGCGTCAGATCTTTAGAGGCCTTACTCGACGTACCTTTCTTCTGTCTTTTTCTATAAATATTTTGTAATTGTTTCTGATGAACTTTCCTCCTATCATCAGCGTACTACTACCAAGGATTACCGTATATTCTATTAAAAATTTTTCTGTATTCTTGCTTCCCTGCCATCAAAAATAAAAAAATCACCCTTCTGTCTTCTTGAAACAAATATTTGGGTGGGCATGGCATTATCAACTGATTTGGAGTGAAATGATTAAAAAAAACTAAAACAGAAAAAAAAAAAGATTTACTATCGGGCATTTTAAATATATCTTCAATATTTAGTTTATTCAAAATTACAAAAAATAAAACGCTCAAATTTTGCGTATTTTGAGGTTCTGGATAAAAAAAAATCAACAATTTTTACCATATAGATGGTATCATGCGACTTTTGAAGCGAATTTTAAAACTAATTTTAAGAGAGTACATATGTAAGGCCTTTGTATCCGTAAGAAAGTACAACTGTATTTAAACCGGTTCTAATGTTTTACTGATCAATGCATAATATTCACATATTACGTAATATCGTATTAACGAATATTCATCTTTTCAGAACCTGCATGTTGCTGAAGAATTTGTCGGGAAAAAAAGACGAGATATCGTGAATAAACCATTTAATAACATTAAAGACGAACCTGATCGAATTAAGAACTGTCTGGATACTGAAAGCAATGAGGATAAACTTTGATCATGATATTTGATGATTAAAATGACCAGGATAGTGAAAGCTTGAATGAAGATGACATATCTTTTCGGCATTGAATATAAAAACCGGAAGCCGAGTTCAATTCCAGTTGGGTTCTTTCAGCACCTGGTATCAAGTAGTTCACCCAGGCGCGCAAATACGCTTGGAAAAGATATGGTGTTCCACCTCTTCTCGCAAGTGGTCACCCATCTATGGGTCAAAATTTAATTGTTTTGGTAATTTGAACCAATATATGTAAATTATTATTATCACTATTTCATTTTCTTATTTTTGACCGAGGAATCAGAATTTTTATAATCATCGGATCGAATATCTCTGATCAAAGAGAATGCTATCCTCATTGCTTTCAGTAAAAAAAAAGCACCTTTAGGTCCCACAACAAATACAATCAATAAACTAAAAATACGGAACAAAAATAAAGACATTATAAACGTTCCCCAAAAGTCTAAAAAAAAGTGTAAAAATGTGCAAAAAGCCATTTGAAAATCAAAAGAAAATAATGAAAACTGAGAATAAAATGAAGAAATCAGTTGTCAAAAATGAGTTGTCATAAAACAAAAACCGTTCAGGTTGCGTGTTCAGACAGACGTGAAGAAATTGGAAATATGTTTTTTTCGGCAAACGGAATTACCTCCCCTTCCTCCTCAGCTTTTACTTTGACATTTTTTTTGGCTTTTTCTTTTTCCCCAGTTATTTGTTAATATTTACAAAATGTCCCGCATAGAAATGACGAAATGGCGCCCCGTGAAAAAAAAAAACTATCTTCAGAATTCATGTTCTATTTTTTCTCTCCTCACCTTATTTTGCCAACGCAAGAGTCGCGCCGCTAAAATGGCTGATCTTCCAAACGATAGCGAGATCCTCTTCTTCTTCTTCCAGATCTGCTAACCTATATTCTTTCAGAAAGAAATTAATCAGATTTAGAAGAAATTGTTGATTCCGCTCAAACAAACAAGTATTTTTTTTTAAACTTGCAAGTTACCTGCAAACAGGTGGGTTTGATGTGATTAATTGATGAGTAATGAAAGTTCTTTTATACGAATCAAAAACAAATGGCCTCATAAATCCACAGACACTCTTCTACGCTTAATCTGACACAAGGTCATATTTGTGGAGAAACCTTGAAAATTGGACTCGCTGTCATTGACTGTTAAAACAGGCGCACGAACCACTGTCCCAAGGGAGAAAACTCTGTCAGGAATAAATAGCGACAAATCAATGAGAAGAAATTGAATTTGAAAATGACATTTTTCAGTCTTACTGCAAGACTTGAACCTTTTTTTCTCTTTTCAGATTAAAGTGTCAGCTATTATCAACAAGAAATGCCAATCATTCTGTTCCAAAATGCTCAAGGAAATCTTAAGACTATTTTGACGCAATATTAAACTAAGAATAAAGTTTTATCATCAGTGTAATAAGATAGATTCCCTTCTATGCATTAATATATTTATAGAGTGCAGCAGAAATACCTCCCATATAATAGAGGTATTTCTGTGGCACACTATATATTTTGCTTAGACATTTTTTTTTTGTTGATTTTTTAAATTTGATCAGAAATCTTGTAGTTTTTTTGTGAAGAAAAACTTTATAAAATCTTCTTAAGATTTGGTAAAATTAAAGAAGTTCAAATTATGGCAGACACATTATTCAATTAATTCATTTCAGACAAAATAAATTCCCCCTTTTATTTGAAATTATTAATAAGATATCATATCTCTACTTGGTGGATAATAAATAAAAAAAGAACTAATTAACTTATAATTTAGACAGAAAGATAAAATCACACAATTTCCAAAACATAAAATTATTAATCTGCAAAGTTTTAGCTTTTAAACATGTTTAGTTATTCAAAATTTTATACCCTTAAATAAAACTGAGCATTTTTCTGTTAAATATTTGCATGTATTTTGTGTCTATTATGACACCCCATACATGGTATAAATAAAAGGACACTGTATCAAGTCCACATTATAGTGTGAACAGCAGTCAGATGTAACAATCAAAGTAGTAAGAGGAGTCAGTAAGAAATCTTCCTGTATCTTTTCTGTCATACAAAAACCATCTTAAGAAGAAACTGGACTAAAAAAAAGAAAAAACAAAAAAACAATTTTTGTAAAACACAATTATTTTAGAAAATAATTTTGGATTTACTCTTTAGAGTTGAGAGTTGAATATTTTTACAAGGTTAAAGTACCCCACCTCCTCCCAGACTCAAGCTTCCATAAAGGTTTACCATTTCAAATAAGAATTTATCAAATTTTAAATCAAATTTGTTTTCTTTTTTTGTTTATTACTGGATTGACATGAAGTCAGGCAGCAACAAAGACCAACATTTACAAAAAGACAAATGAAAAAAAATTCTCTTGTGATTGAAAGAATTTTATCTTCAAAATATTTTTCATAATGCACACCTGAAAAAGAGGTGAAAAGATTTTTAAATATTGTCAATCAAAAATATTTAAAATTTGAAAGAAAAACAACCGTCTGAAATTTCTTTTGGGAAGAGTTTTGCTGTTTCAAAAAAAAAAAAAAAATTGAGTAATTTCATCAAAAATGTTTCAAATTTGACACTAAATAATACAATTATACACCATTTGTTTTTCAGAATGAAATTATATTGGAAAATCTGAGCAGGTAAAAATGTCAGCCAGGTTGTCGGCTAATGAAAAAAAAAAAAGTAACAATTGTTTGAGTCAAGAAAATATTTAAAGTGTTTTATTTTCAAATTTATGGACGGATAATTCAGATGGCAGTATTTTTTTTTTTATTTATTCGGAATAACTGCTGAGTTTAAATAACATTTATTTTTTATTGAATTTTTGTTTTGACATTTGCAGAAATGAAATTCACTGTTCTTTTCTCAGGCATTTCCTTTTTTTAACACACACACACACACACACACACACACACACACACACACACACACACATAAATGTAGGCAGACACATGCAGATATACGCAGTCTTTTCATCTGGACACACATTTCTGTTTCTCTTCATTCCTGAAAAATCTTAACAATTTTCTGAGATTTCTTCTTCAACAAATTCAGATTGTTCCTCCTCCTCCTCCTCCTCACTTGGCTGCGATGAAAATTTCAATCCATTTTTGTTTTTTGACAAAAAACCCTTGGGCAGCGTCACCCCCAGTTGTTGATAGGTTAGCTCAACTGTCTTTGGGCTGACGTAATAAGTAATGTTTGCATTTGGCACTTTACCCATCAATTCTTCAATGTGATTGTACGCCTACAAAAGGGAGAAAAAAAAAATGCACAAAAATAGTGAGGAATGTTTCTCATTTATTGTCAAATTTTGTAAAATAAAAACAAAATTAAAAAAAAAAAAAACACAAGCAGGTATTTTTGTCTTGCCCGACACAATAGTCAGGAATCCATTTTAGAATGGAGGGGGAACATACTTGGTGAACAGAATCATAAAAAAAACTGCAAACATTGGGGAGGATAAATGCTCTAAGCTACATTATGATATAATAATTAACACTTTTACTGAATTCTTATTGTGCTGTTGACCTCACCAATAAGAACAGGCTAATCCAACCTCTGTGCTTATTAATTCCTTGAAATAAATAATGTAAATTTAAATAAAAGTATTTTGATATGAATTTGATATAAATTTACATTCTCGAGCTTGATTTATAATAACAAGCATCACCAACCTGGCATTGATATTCAGCACCCACTATTATATCATCCACTATTTTAACTTCTATTAGCAATGTTCTATGAGATTTAAATGCATGAAATAAACTCATTTTTTTGTTTTTTTACAGTGAAAGAATTACTGTATGTGAAAGTTGGAAAACCAAATTTACCTTTAGGAATAGGTAATGTTTTAGGATTGTCCATAAAAGTAAAGATAAAAGATGGGGGATTGCAGAAAATAGATCTCTTGTCCCTAGGGCCCCACACTAAATGTCCCCTGCTATTATGACAGATTGACTTAGAACAACAGAAACTACATGGAGTCTCACGGCCATGTGACAACAAAAGATGTGAATATCTTGTGAGCCAATTGTTTATTTCTCATAAAATGATCAACAAAAACACAGATGCCAGTGTTGTTTATGAACTGCATTTTTCAAAAAAATGCAATTGTATTTGCTTATGCATAAATGACATGTGTAACATGAGAATAAAGATGTACTTTTAGCATCTTTGACTTTCACACAATGTAGAGTAATTGACCGTGTTGAAGTGTAATTGGCAAAAATACACAAGAAAAGGAATTGACAAATGAAGTTTCTAATAAAAATAACAAAAGAAAGAAAAGAACAGGGCAAAATAATTCTAAGCAAACACTATATATGCAAGTCAAAACTAGACAAAGTAACAGTAATAGGGTAGAAAGTTCACAAAGAATTAACACACAAAAGGGATACAGTCATGTGACTGTAGTGTTCTGACATCGAGACAAGAAAGAACAAAAATATGAGACTGAGAAGTTGTCTATTTTATTGGTTAGTTCTTATTCTCGTGAAGTGGACAGCTCCTAATAACATATTTTATTTTCAGTTTGAATGTTTTCTTATATTTGTGGGTTCATCCCGTTCCCCCACTCATTTCATGTAATTACATTTTTATAAAAAATGATAAAAAGAATAAATATTTGTTATATCCTGAAATTATTATGACATGGGTATGTTATGCGGGTTGGGCTGTTAATACATGGGTATGTTATGCGGGGGGGGGGGCGCTGTGAGTATGTGGTATTGTGGTATATGATGGACTGAATGGCAATAGATAAGTTCTTGTGGTGAATGAGTAAATTGTAATGGATAAATGGATTGTAAATCAGATTAATTAGGTGAAGGATAGTTAGCATAGACAGACCTATCCCACTTTCCCTTTGGCCTTGTGCAAATTCAACTGTAATTCAATTAACAATAAATCTACATTCCTTATTAGATTGGAACTAAGACCCAACATTTCAAGTTAAAGAAAATTCTTGATGATATGAAATTGAGAGGGAAACTTGATCCAATGTTTTTGCTTTTAATGTAATTGTCAGTCGTACAAATCTTACAAAACAAACCAATTAAGTTCAGTAAATTTACAAAGCAAGTTTTGATTTGCAAACTTTGAGTGATGCAAATAAAAGTTGCCTTGTATTTTCTTAACGATCTGAATGTGTGCGTCAATACTCACAGCATTCCATTTCTCTTGGCAGGCATAGTGTTCAATCAAAAATGCATAGACGTCTCCTACACGTACAGAAATATCAAGGTCAGGTTCTTCCAAAAGACTAAGGCACTGTTTGACAGCATCATCAGGATTGTCAGCATAAATTCTTTAATGAAAAACCAGAAAAAAAAAAGATAAGTAGAATACAAAATGCCACTTCCTTACCTCATTATAATTTGTTTATTTTTTTCATTTACAGAAAACAAATTTATATAACTTTTTCAGGCTCTTGTATTCTGACAATACAATTTATTTACTTTGGGTTTGCATTCAGCATTACCAGGATTTTTATGATTGCTTTACCCACCTCTCTTCCTATTTAACCCCCACCACCACCACACACACACACTTAATTGATTCAGTTTCCAACTTAATGTAAACCAAGGTTTTGACATTAATGTTTATTAAAATATTTGAAAGCCATTTTGTCATTTTTCTATCACTTTTTTTTTTTATGAACCAACTTCTGATGTTCATTTATGACATCCTGTGCGGCTCTGTACCTGATCAAAAAGCCTATATAAACTACATTCAATTCCTTTTCTTATATTTACAATAATTTGTTAAACTGGGTGACATATTTTAAATCTGGAGAGGTTTTTAATGGATATAAAAGAAAAACTAACAACCTCATGGTTAGTGTAATGTTATGTTAATAATATCTGATAAGAACACATAAATGAATTTTTCATAGGTAGAATAATTGTTTATTCACTTTTGGACTCCATCAAATTAACCTTGAACTGTGTGATGAATATGTGGAACATGTAATGTTATGTTGCTAATGTCTGACTAAATTTTTCATATGTAAAATAATTGTTTATTCAATTTTAGACTTTTGGGATTTATGTCAACTAACCAAGGGTTTATGTAGTCTGGATTTTTTTCTTCATTCATTTAATCTTTAATCTTCTTTACGTTGGTGTACCTGCAAATATCATTTGAGGCCTCATTCTGCATAGGGTGGTTTTGAGATCTGCCTTTTATGTCAACCCTTGAGGCACCTATGTATTTTGACTGAGAACAAAATTTACTTTGGTATTTCTTATGATGAACCCCCATAGATATTGGGGTCACCACAGATCAACTCCTCCTAGATCAAAGGTTCCTGATTAAAATTCAATTCAGACCACTGGCATGAATCCCTAGAGTTAGTCATCAGCCATTACGGTTGGACATTATATCTACTGATATGAGAAGAGAGGTGCAAATAAACAAATGCTAAAGAAGTAGGGATATAAAGAATTTCTTATTCCTCTACTTAACATATATTATTTGCTGTTTTACATTATTTCATATAAATTTTATAGAAATTCCTGATATAAATTTTAAATTTCTTCTAACCAAAAAATTGCTGAATGAAAATGTAAAAAGGAATAGAATTTCAAACTTATGACAACAGGTGTTGCATCATTCATTTATAAAAAAGATAGGAGACATTTTTAAAACTACTAAGAGATGCAATAAGTATAATGTAAGGTGACCATGTTTTTTTTTTGTAATAACAACATCAAAAATCTGGTGAAGATCAGCCATTGTCCTCAGTTGATTTAAAAAAAAGGGTTCAACATGCCACAAAAACAGTTGCGAATGGTGGCATTGAAGCCACAAAGTGAGAAAAGGAAAGTAATATTCACTGCTGGCAGATTTAATGGCCATTGGCAGAAGATTGTAGAAGGTTTCATGGAAACTGGTAAAAGATTATAAAAGGTTTCATGGCCATTGTTAAGACATTTTACAAAATTTGATGGCCACTGGTAGAAGATTTTATATGGTTTGATGGCCATTGGCAGAAGATTGTGGAAGGTTTCATGGTCATTAAAAGATTTAAAGGGTTTGATGGCCATTGGCAGAAGATTGTGGAAGGTTTCATGGTCATTAAAAGATTTAAAGGGTTTGATGGCCATTGGCAGAAGATTGTGGAAGGTTTCATGGTCATTAAAAGATTTAAAGGGTTTGATGGCCATTGGCAGAAGATTGTGGAAGGTTTCATGGTCATTAAAAGATTTAAAGGGTTTGATGGCCATTGGCAGAAGATTGTGGAAGGTTTCATGGTCATTAAAAGATTTAAAGGGTTTGATGGCCATTGAAAAAAGATTTTACACGGTTTTGGTGGTCATTAGTAGAAGATTGTAGGTTTGATGGTCATTGGTAAAAGATTGTAGAGGATTTGTTGGTCATTGGTAAATGATTTCATCTGGTAGAAGATTGTTACAAATGCTACTGTAAAGTTATTCAATGAAAAAATATTGTGAGCTTGATACCAATTAAAGTGGAATGAATGAATGATCAAAGCAAAGAAATGCTGATAGAAAATGTTGGTTTCTGTTCATATTGTAATACTGAACTGACATCTTAAAACAAAAGTCATTCATGAAAATATTTCTTTATACACACAGACTAAGAAGAAGTGTTAAGAATGACTACAAAAAGACTTACTTGCGTGCATTAACAAACTTTCTGATTAAGATAATCTTCTGTTTGAGGTCATCCATTCTTTTCTGCACTGGGGAACAATCACTATCCCCTTCCAATGCCTTCTGTAAACATTTATATGCTTCTCCAAGGGCACCAAGTGATTTTTCATAATTCTGATACTCATCTATTTCAGCCTGAAAATGACAAAACAAATCAAGTCTTTCATATTTGTTTTTATTTTCACTTCCTGTGCTACATAAAGTGTTTTTTTGTTCCCATATATGTGTAAATCATCAAATCCTTCATGTTTCAGTATTCAAAATTTCCCTTAAATGAATAAAGGAATGATATATATTTTTTATTATTCACAAAATTCAAGTTGAGGGTGAAGTGTTATTTATCCTCCTTATCCTCATAATCTTTGTATAACCTTTTCTTTCATTCAGCTAATACATACTTTATTCATCATAACCATTTTAAAAGTAACCCTCTATTTTCAGCAGATCTAGACTCTTGTATTGGGTGAATTCTAATATTAAAAATAAAATTTTAAATCTTTATAGAACTGGATCAAGTATTATTGAAAAATTAAAATGTACTGACATTTAAAACTTTATTTTCTGCTCCAAACAAATTTCAATTTATTTATCAAATAGACAAGACACAAAACTAGTCCAAAATTAGTCATTTTGTTTTAACAGAGAGCAATTATATTTAATCTTATAAATTTGAAATTCTTAAAGATTCTTCTGGGACTGAGAAAACAAGACAAGGATTTCTTTAAATTCAAAGAATAAAATAACATTTCTTTGTAACCTGAAAAGATTCATTGCTTCTAACAGAAATAAAACAAAAGAAATAAAAAAAACCCCAAAATTCAAACCTCCTATTCTGTGATTTCATCTGACAAATTGTAAATAATAAACATGCTAACAGTTCAATTTGATAACTGGAAAGGTTTATTTATCCTGAATTGCGATACACAGCAGTTAAAAATCTGCAAATGGAATCTCAGACACGATAACAATTCTATCACTTCATAAATACATGCACTAGAATGGAACATTTAAAAAAGAATTGAATGAAATAAGAAACAAGAGAATAAAGCATATGTCTTAAGTGAAAACCAAACAGAAATTCCAATTTGAATTGATTATTTTCCCTTTATCAAAAAAAAAAAAAATCTGGCAAAAGTTTACCCTTTGTGCCCGCAAAAAATAGTGTGTCAAAGGATCAGTGTTTCCCTTGACACTTCTATTGTTTTCTATTAGAGGAGCAGCAAGGTTTGCCTATCATCCAGTTCATACTCCTCCCCAGTCTTTTGAACAGGAGTAGCAGTTCACTCTTTGTATCCTGTTTAGGATTTGGTTTCAAGTTCCTTCTAAAGTCTACTTCAACCATATAATCCTAACATCTTCACTTGAACCCTGAAATTTTACTAATTAAATCTTGACCTATTCATGTCTAGAATTAGCTATCTTCCCTATTATCTTGTTCTAATACAACTTTACACAGTAACCCTCTACCTTGAGTGGCACTTGAGCCTTGTATTGAGTGAATATTAGTCAAAAAAAAAAAAAAAAATTACTCCCTTCACTCCATTGATAATGTTTATTGTTTTTATTAAAAAATGATTAAAATTTTAATAAAATCTAAACACATGAAAGTGAATTTATACATTTTCTTTGTTCTTGAAAAAAATATTAAACACTTTATTTATTAGATTGTTTATTTACAAGACCAATTTTATATTCGCAACATTCTAAAATTACAAACCAAAAGTTAATACAAAATGCAAATGTTTATCATTTACTAAGTCATAAAGAAATAAATATGAAAATAATTTTTTTTATTCATAAATTTATAAACATTTACTAAATTTTGGTTGTCATTTAAATAATTAAATACCACTAAGATGCAATTGGCTATGAGGAGTGAAAGAGAATGAGAAAACTTGAACACCTAATCCTAAACAAAAACAAGGGAGAAACGTCTGCTCTTGTCGTCTTTATTAAATACTGAATCTACCTACTTTGGGCATTGAGCAATTTTGTTTCATTACTGTGCTCTATAAACTATAAATGCTTATTTTTTCTATTTCATAGGGCATATTTCCATATTTGCCAGCCTATTGGATACACCCTGATTTAGGCATGGAATATTTAGGGAAAAAAAATGTACACATCACAACCAAAACAAAAATTATAACCTTACCTTTATGTGACCTTCTCACTAACCATAAAGAAACACTTACAGTATTAACGCAAATTATACAACTGGTACTTTTTTTTAATAGAAGTGAGGTAAGGTTTAATTACCCGGACATTTGTTGGAAAAGAAGAATTTAAGAACATTTCATCATGCCTTTATTGAAAATTGTTTTTGTTGTTTTTCAGGGAGCAACATCTACACATACAATAAATTCTTAATAGCTACAAAGAAATCTATAGGCATCAGTGAACATTGGTACATATGGTAATAGGCATAAAACCTCCAGAAATATGGTACTTGTTGGTTAAAGAAGTCTCATAGCATACATACAGAAAAACAATTTCCAATACCTGTAAATGAACAAAAAAACACACACACACAAAGCAAGCAGCAATAGACCATGTTATGTAGAAAGTGCAAATTTCAAACCTACACAAGCATACTGATTGCTTCTCAAATGTTACTGTGCTGGTGATCATCACCAATAGCAACAGGCTAATCCAAGCTCTGTACTTATTACTTCCTTGAACATCAGTAAATGTAGATTTAAATAAAAATATTTGGATGTGGATTGGATTTGAATTTTCATTTTTAAGCTTGGTTTATAATAACAAGCATCACAAACCCCTGACAATGATAGACAGCATCCATAATTATATCATCTCCTATTTTGAATTCTATTAGCAATGTTCTGATATTTAGATGCATGAAATAAATTCATTTTTTATAGTGAAAGACAGAGTATAAAAGTTAGCAAACCAAAATTTTTACCTTTAGGGATAAATAATGTTTTAGGATTGTCCAACAAGAAAGAAAGAATAAAAGATGGGAGATTGTAGAAAAGAGATTCTCCTGTGCTCAGTGCCAAACCCCAAAGAGTCCCCTGATATTATGACAGATTGACTTAGACCAACAGAAACCACATGGAGTCAATAATTGAAATTTTTCACTGCACATGTGTGACAACAAATACATTTATATCTTGTGGCCTAACGTAAAAGCCCTGCCACCGGCAGCTATATCCTGTCTCCCCGGTGGCTCTGGGCACTAAAAGAAAACCACCTGGTCCTCCTCCGGTGAGCTGAAGGAACCACCACTATTCACCACATTGTGAGTTTTTGATCCAAACAGTAGTGTCCCAATCCTTCAGAACGGTCCGGTGGTAAAGGATGAAATGGCTGGGTTCTACGCTGAAAGGAATCACTATTCGTGCAGAAAAAAGTTCTTGTTGTAACCGCAAAGACATAAAAAATAAGCAACACTTTCGGTTCTTGTACAAAGAGCCTTATAAGGCTACTGCTATTATGTCACTACCAAAGAAATTGCACGAATACAAAGTGTCTTAACAAGAATCATTCGTTTGGGTCGGAAAGTCACAGAGAGAGATAGACGATTATTATGCTGATAGGAATTCAGTTGATCTAAGGGAGGTAATTCGTCGATCTTCGTCTGCACCCTACGATATAGTAGTCTGCTTTCTCACAGATTTGTTGACGAAGTTATCTGGATTTGTACGGGCTCTATTTCTATCTCTTGGTTCGGATCGGTCTTCTTGACGCAGGACAACCAACTGACCAGGCCAGCAAGATCCACCAAGCCGTTTTCCGCCACGTCCTCTCCACTCTCTGTCCGCATTCTGTTTAACTCAAGCGTGCAGGCAGTTTATATAGAGTGGAGTGGAGCTAAACAATTTTTAGGCACCGCCCACGAATTTTAATATGCAAATCGCCTTGACCACCATGTGTTTCCACCGAATCTCTGCGGGAAACTAGTTCTCAAGTGGTACTAAAAATGAATTTGGATTCCCTGCTGGGTTTTCCACAGACATCATCTACTTAAGCCTTGCGAAAAGTACTTATCTCGTCTAAGGACTTTGGCTGGATTTTGCCCTGCAGACCACCCAAAATCCAATTCACCATTTATCACAAGCTTTACTTAATGAACCTGTCCATTAATCACTCTGAAATTAAGTCACCTAATTAACTAATAACTCAACCCCAGAAACAATTAAAAAAAAAAAACAAAAAAAAAAAAACTTATTTCTGGAATTACTCCGGAATTCCTTTTACCCAACTAATTAGTACCTTCATCCCAATCCTTTAGAACTGTTGATTAATAAACCCACCTGGTGGGGGGAGGCTCTCTCTCTCTTTCTGTCACAGTAGGCCAATTGATTATTTCTCATAAAACGACCATCAAAACAGAAATACCAGGCATGTTTATAAACTGCATTTTTCAAAACATGCCATTGTATCTACTTATGCATAAATGACAGGTGCAATGTGAAAGTCAAGGTATATTTTTAGCATCTTTGACTTTATCAAAACACCTGTCATTTAAAGAGAATTCTTGGTGACATGAAATTGTATGAGAAAAAAATGAGTCTAATGTGTTTGATTTTAATGAGAATCACCAACCTGGCAATGATAGTATCCACAATTAAATCATCCCCTATTTTTACTTCTATTAGCAATGATATTTGTGATTTAGCTACAAAAAATAAACTCTTTTTTTTTTTCATAGTGAAATTTGTACACAGTTGGCAAACCAAATTCTGTGCCTTTGCAGATTGACAATATTTTAGGACTGTCGAAGAATAAAGAATAAAGGGTGATAGAGAATAAAAATGAGAGAGACATTTTTACCTGGGCACACATATCATAGAAAGCAGCCAGAGAGTCCATTGCTTTTCCTTTTGTATAAAACGTGACTATGTTTTTCATGATTTCCGGATCTTTCATCCAATCCAATGATTGTAAATAATTAGCAGCCATGATGTAAATTTCTTTTTGACGTGAAACTGTGGCAAAAAATGAAATCTTTTCTGTATCACCAGATTTCAACAAACATTTCATTGCCTGAAGAGAAAAAGCAAAAACACAGAGATTAAAATAGTTTTAAAAAAAAACTGCCCAACTTAGAATACTTTTAGTACTTTCTTAGTACTGTGAAACATTAGTACTGTTATATGCAGCTTCAAAATAGAACTCTTTCTAATTCACTGTACATCAAAACCTTACTAAAAATTAAGGAAAAATATTTTGTTGGGATGTTCAACCCCCCAAAAAAAAAACACCCTAGGGAACTAAAGAAGTGTTACGATATCTCTGTATTGCCATACAGAATGTCATCTATTAAGTGCATTTAAATATTGCATTTATTTAAAGAGAAAAACCATTTGCTACCTTCTTGATTTTGACTTTGTTCTTTTGCTAAGTTAGTCATGATTTAAATAAACTTGTAATAAAATCAACCAAAATGTATTCTGGCTGCTTCTCTTACCTTGACTCTGTTGCCAGACTGTGTGAATTTTTTTGTTGCCATGTGATATTCTCCTTGGTGTGTGCATATTTTGCCAATCGCTTCCAAGATCTTCAAGCGTTCTGTGTTGTTAGCCTCGTTTGGTCCCTTGGAAGGAGTCAGCTTCTCAGCCAGTTCAGTAGTCATAGGAATGTTTTGCTCCACCACCAATTTGATCGCATCCCAATACTGAAAACAGAAAACAAAATGGGGGAAATAAAACACACAAAAATAAAGACAAAAAAAAAGCTAAGCCAAAAAAAAAAAAAAAAAGACAAGGTCTTTGATTTCTTGCCTTTTTAGCCATTGCTAAATGTTCGACTGCTTTATCATACTGAGAATTCTCCAGAAAGAACTCAGCACATCGTTCCAAGAGCTCAGGGTCAGCTCTTTCATCCAGTTCTGCAGAAATGGTTTGTAAGGCACCAAATTGTTTGCTGTTAAAAGACAATTCGAGGGCTTTGGAAAAATTACCAGCCTGAAATTAGAAGAATGAGAAAAGTCAAATGTGAACAGATTTGTTTTTCAGTTTTGAATGAAATTAGATATGTTAATTTTTGTTGTAAATCCATTGTGGGTCAGTTTTGCATATGAAGTTCTAACATATGAAACAAGGAATTCTATAGAAAACAGCAAAGTTTGACAGAATCAATACACATTACAAGACTGCAATTCATTGGGCACATTTGGAGGAGGAAAGAAGCACTGGAAAGAAAATAATCATGTGGGAGTCCAAAGTATTGAAAACAGAGACAGAGAGGATTGACTAAAATGTCTGTGGATCAGCTGCTAAAAAACCTGTCATGCTTGATGTTTGCGTTCACTCAAAATAATTTAATTTCATTATTATTATTATTATTATCATTATTTCCATTTCAAGAAAGAGAGAGTGAGAAGAGTACGAGAGAGAGAGCATGAGAGAGAGAGAAAAAGAGCACAAGAGAGAGAGAGAAGTGCATGAGAGAGAGAAAAAGTGTACAAGAGAGAGAGAGAAAAAGAGCACGCGAGAGAGAGAAAGAGCACAAGAGAGAGAGAAAAAGAGCACGAGAGAGAAGAGCATGAGAGAGAGAGAAAAGCATGAGAGGGTGAGAAAAGCACGACAGAGTAAAAAAGAGTGAGAAGAGCACGAGAGAAAGAGAGTGAGAAGAGCACGAGAGAGAGAGAGAGAGAAGAGCACGAGAGAGAGAGAGAGAAGAGCACAGAGAGAGAGAGAGAGAGAGGAGGAGCAGAGAGAGAGAGAGAGTGAGAAGAGAGAGAGAGAGAGAGAGAGAAGAGAGTGAGAGAGAGAGAGAGAGGAGAAGAGCACGAGAGAGAGAGAGAGATGAGAGTGAGAAGAGCACGAGAGAGAGAGAGTGAGAGTGAGAAGAGCACGAGAGAGAGAGAGAGAGGAGAAGAGCACGAGAGAGAGGAGAAGAGCAAGAGAGAGAGTGAGAAGAGCACGAGAGAGAGAGAGAGGAGAAGAGCACGAGAGAGAGAGAGAGTGAGAAGAGCAAGAGAGAGAGAGAGTGAGAAGAGCACGAGAGAGAGAGAGAGTGAGAAGAGCACGAGAGAGAGAGAGAGTGAGAAGAGCACGAGATAACAGTACGAGAGAGAAAGAGATAGAGAGTGAGAACAGCATGAGAGAGAGAGAACAGCACGAGAGAGAGAGAGAGAGAAGGAAATAGCATGAGAGAGACATGGAAAGAGCATGAGAGAGAGAGAGATGTTTGAATGAAGATTGTCAAAGTCAAAGGGATTCAATGAGACGTTATTTTCTTTCATTTTATTGCCATTTACAAATCTCTTGATTCAACCAAATATTAAGAAATTTCTTAAATACAAGAAATTAATTTTGCTTTAATAAACACATGCTACTGAAAACTTACTGACCCAACCCACTTTCCATATATCTGTATTTTAATCAGGGCCCATTGTGGCTGCACCCCCAAATCTATGATACAGGGTCCCCCACTCTACTACATCTCAATTTTCATAAGCTAGTGTTCATATAAAATACAAATTTTATTCTAACCTAATTATGTACAATAATGGATCACATGCAATATAGGTGAACAAATCAACTAGAAAAATTGAAAATAAATACAATATATCTAAATACAAATTAGAGACATATCAGATAGATCATTGCATCTTAAATAAACCAACAATGTTTTGTGACAATTTTTAACATTTGTTAAAAAGTTGAATAATTTGAACACATTCAATGCAAAAATACAATTTTATATTGTGTTTTTGAGAAAATGAATTCATGAATTTAGATGAAAAAAATCTTTTAATTGTCAGTTTTGCTTAATTTAATTTGTAATGTCTCTAAATGTAGGCAGAAAAAACAAGTGTTGATAAGATAGTGAGGGTTACAACACACTGCCCCAGTTCCCCAGTCAGGTTCACCCCATCTAGTCAGAGAGTTTGGGTGTATTTACACACTGGCCCTGATTTTAGGATTTTTAAGTTGGGTCTGGTCTTTTAAGAACTCCCTTAATATTTTCCCTTTCAAGAAAAGCGGCAGTAATTTCTCCATTTATATTTCAAGTCCATTTTCTCGTGTTCTTACAACCAATTTATTGTTTATTTCTTTTAAGTGTTAAATAATGCACCTGGCATTGGTCAGTAAAGACGTCAACTGATAAAAGAAGAAAAATGATAACGGACCTGAAAAATGTGACAGAGAAGCGGAAATGAGTAAAATTAGGAGAGAGAAATGATGGCGAACAACCAGTGCTTTTCTTTATCAGGTGCACTGTGTGTGCATGTGGGTGTTTTAAGGGGGTGCTGAAAAGGTTTTCAGACAAACCCACTTCTCAAAATCTGAACACATGACCAAATATCAAAACTGTGTGTGTGTGGGTGTATGTCTGCTTGTGTTTGTGAATTGATACATTTTCTATGGCTTATCAACTGTTTGCATGTTAATTAAAGCCAGAAAAAGTATTTTTGGTGGGTGATAATGATGATTTAGTGACACAACTCTTACTAATTAACCCATAGTTAGGAGGCAGAAAAGGTGGATTCATACCTTTTCCAAGGGTATTTACATTTAAGTGAATATAATGAACCCACCAAGAATTAGAACTTGGTTCTCAAATTATCTTTTCTAAGACATCATTCATTACACCAACTGCACATCCAAGATTATTATTCTGTTATTCCCAAAAGGGCCACCCATCTAGGCACTGACTAGGCTCAACATTGCTTTAACTTTGGTGATTATATGGGAACAGGTGCTTTAATGCAATGTGGGTGTATGATATTAGTGGTTAATATATATATATTAATATTATCATATATATATATATATATATATATATATATATATATATATATATATATATATATATATATATATATATATATATATATATATATATATATATATATATATATATATATATATATATATATATATATATATATATATATATATATATATATATATATATATATATATATATATATATATATATATATATATATATATATATATATATATATATATATATATATATATATATATATATATATATATATATATATATATATATATATATATATATATATATATATATATATATATATATATATAATATATATTATATATATATATATATATATATATATATATATATATATATATATATATATATATATATATATATATATATATATATATATATATATATATATATATATATAATATATATATATATATATATATATATATATATATATATATATATATATATATATATATATATATATATATATATATATATATATATATATATATATATATAATATATATTATATATATATATATATATATTTCCAAGAGGTTAGTTTCAGGTAGAACTCAAAATCCAGGACAGAGTAAGAATAGTGTTTGAGATTTTTATTATATATATATATATGTGTGTGTGTGTGTGTGTGTGTGTGTGTGTATGAATAAAAACAAAGATGATGTTTTGCAAAAAAAAAAAAAAAAAAAAAAAAAAAAAAAAAAAAAAAGTCGACTAATGTAATTCTGGAAGACAAGACTTTTAAGGCCAGCAGCTTTTGTAAGTGAAATGCTTAATATTAAAAAAGTACATCAATTGAAATAAAAAGTTCAAAAGTTTATCTTTCTGACTTCAAGTTTTGCAGCAAAAAAATATATGATATCTGTAAATAGATACAGTTGAACTCAGGAAGATAATTTTTAAATATTTTATTTTTCTACTATATATATATATATATATATATATATATATATATATATATATATATATATATATATATGAGAGACAGACAGAAAGACATAGTGTGAACATAGAAAAGGGATCAGCACTTTTATGGTGACTATTTCACACCTAAAGCATTCATCAGACTATGGTCAGAAGATCACTTGAGGTATGAAATTGAAAGTTACCATGCAGTGTTGATTCCTATGTCAACATTGTCTATATCTATGAACACTAGCTCTGATATTAAGCACTCTCCCTCCTCCTATAAATAAAAAAGATATTTTGAACAATATTTTTAAAACATGTTTATATGCACACACACACATATTAAATGGTTGCCTTATCCTTTGTAATCTATTTTTCTACCTCTTGGATACACAACAGGAACTTAAGATTTTCTAACAATCTAAATAGTTTAACAAGTAATGACCAAGTATATTTTAACATTCCTGTTGTCAACAACGTAAGTAAAAGCCCTTTTAAAAAGATGTGGACAATAGCTGTCAACATGCAAATGAATTTGTTTCCCTTAAACATGAAGGACTGGGGCAGATTTTGCCTCTTTTCAAATAATTTAATGTGACATAATGTGATTTTCTTCTTATATTGTTAGCCAACTCACTAAATGTAACATTTAAGAATGTAAAGGATTCCATCAGTGTTGAACATTTTCCACTACCCTCATGGGGTTTAAAGTGTGAATTTTTCTGATCCCTGAGACATTTTAATGTATACTCAACATAAATATTATTTTGATCATGGCAGTGGAAACAGATTAAAACGCTTGACTCTGAGGTAAAACTTATTATTATTCATTCTATGATCTTCAGAGAGCTGTATGAAGATATGAGCAAAAAGAAAACTTCACATTTAATTATTTATCATTAAGAATTAGCATTTACAATTTCCAGTTAATGTCTTTCCTGATATTCAAATTTTGGAAAATAGTGTAAAAGCAAAACACAACTACGCTGCAATTAAATCTCTTTCTGATTCATTCTGCATGTTGGCCAGATGTGAGCCCCAAGAAGGCAGAACACAACATAAAGAAAATAGTTTTCTGCACATGGGCTCTGAGTATCACACTCAGTCCACGAAACAAATCCCCACAATGAAAATAATACAATAGCCAATCACAAACATTCTAGCCAAAAAAAAAGAGATGACCCTGGGGATTACCAGATTTGCTTAAAAGCAGGTTTCTCATAACAATCAACACAGACTGAAAGGCCACAGGCAAACACAGAGGCACATTGTCGCCAAAACCACTGTGACTGTTTCTCTCATCACAACTGTGACTTTACCCAAGCTTCTCTAATCTCACCTGACTCTTCACACATGCAATGCAGCTGGCAAACCAGCTTCAACACTGCCAGGTATCCGATGTCAACCACCATGATTTATAATAACTCAAGGTTGTCACCACCTCGCTTTAGGAATCCCTCATTATCACCACCACAACCTCATTTCGTTGATATCATATTCAACCTGAATCCAACTGCAAGCCTTCCTCGCCATCACCCTGCTACCCTGTTTCAACATTCTGCTCGACCAACTACAGGGCCTCTCATGCCATCACCACTTCTACCCTATTTTGTTGATACCACATTTGATCAGAATCCAACAGAGATTTTCCGCTTGATCAACATACACCAATTTTGACACCTAATCCCTTGTTGCCACCGCTGTCACCCTGGCAACCAACGCACTCTACCACTAATCAAACCACCACTGTGACCACAATCAACATACCAATTCACTTTACCAGGCAGTTCAGCTTCAACATCTCAGCCAATCCATCAACACTATCATACATGTCGATTTCATGCATCAAACCTCAACAATGGCTAATCCACTCTGGACCTATCCTGTGACCTCGGCTAAACCAACCCGCAAAATCTGTCAACTCCCGGCACTACTGACAACACCCTTACACCTAATCGCTTTCTGACAACAGCAACTGAAACAACATATTAATAATTTTTGCCAATTTTCTAACAACTATAAATATATCATGTATATTTGATGAATACACTGTTTGAAAATTGAATCCTTATTATTCCTTTCCTTCACAACCAAACACTTGTTATAACATTATGAAATCTACAAGAGTCAAAATGAATTCAAATCTTTAAGCATCAAAATGATTTACCTTATGATACAACATGACAGCATTTCCTTCCATTCCTGGTTTTTGCTCAAAATATCTTGCAGCTTCAACCATATCTTCAGGTTGACCCAACAAAGCAAGATTCAAAATCTGGTCCTCGAACCCGTGTTCCTAAAAAGAAGGAAATATTCATTATCCTCTGCTCCAAATTAAATCTCTTTCTGATTCACTCTACATGATGGCCAGATGTAAATGCTAAGAAAGCGAAACCAAAAATAAAAAAAATTGTCCTCAAAAAAAAATAAATAAAATACAACATAAAAGAAGCTAATGATGAACTTGCCACTAAAGAAAATATCTGAAAAAAAAAAAAAAAAAAAATGAGTTTATGAACCTCCACATTTTCTTTTAAGAATGCCACTCATAAATGACTGACAGATTTGCAGTGAATGGGCAAAGCTTTGACCTGAAACCATCCCCCCTCCTCAACATCAGCACCATGATTTCAATCAACCTACCCAACAAGCACATCAACTTCAGGCTTAATCAACTCTACCCTTCTTCCAAGTTGCTTTCTTTGACTACAAAGAGACAAACTGCTCACATCCTCTGTATCGGCATTACAAAAAATTTTATATTAACAATTCTTGTCTTCTTTTCCTTTCACCTCACCGGCAGTACTTGTTTTGTTTGTTCTCTTGTGCTACCATATGTATGTTTATAGCATATTTAATAAAGGATATTTGCTAACAAAGTGACAGTTATAAATTTTGAATTCTTGCTGATCAAAGGACTGAGTTTTATTGTATTCTTTTTGCATGTGGAGAGTTGAAGGAGACGGTCTGTTTTTATCCATAATGGTAAAATTGCATTTTGATGACATAGATTTAATCCTGACTTAAAAAGATGATTCCATTTGTTTCTTCTTTTTCTTTGGGGTTTGATACCAGCACATGTTCCCATTTGTCAAAGAGATCTGCATTTTTATGTGTGTCTCCACCAAAGTCAAGCTTTGCTAACCTCCAGTTTATTAAGATATCTAACATTGTAAATGTGAAACATTACAAGAAGCATTTGGCATTCACTGTTAACATTACTGCCAGTAGAAATTTATAAAATATTTTTATTTAAAAGTTTTTCTGAAAACTAGACTAACTGATATTGCTTTTTATAGAATTGATAGAAGTTTCCTTCGAAAGTTTTTGTTTTTGGTAATGTGAAAATTAACATTTTTATAAAATTATTTTCCCTTCTAGTTAAATGTGCTACCCATTTTTGTTGCTGCTGCTGTTGGAAGTCTTCAAGTGATATGGTTTTTGTTATTTGGCAAAGCTATCTGTGATTCTGTAGCACCAGACTATAGGGTTTGATGAAAAATTGCCTTAAAGAAGGAGTCAGCAAGCCCCGGGCCACATTTAGATCACAAAGGATTTTTATTTGGCCCACCAACTTAAAAACTGGAGACTAATTATCTAATTAATTTGTGGAACAAGTGGCACAAAAATATCAGATGGAGTTAATCGACTTACAATGCGACAAATTTTTTAAATCAAAATTTAATTCCGAATCCACTGTTGATTTCTACAAGAAATATTTTGCCAAGCAGAAAATATAAAAGCCTATTGAATAATATGAAAATTATGGCATCATTATTTGGAAGTACATTGGCTTGTGAACAACTTTTTCTGAAAATGAAATATGCTAGAAGTCATTTAAGAACAAGGGTGGCTGATGACCACCTGGACAACGTTTCGCTCCTGTTATTGACAAATATTTCACCTGATGCGAAGTTATCGAATAATAGGCAGTAATCAATGTCTCATTAAATAATTTAATTTCATATCCCTCCACCAAGATGGCTTTCTCTCTCTCCAAAATGTTGTGACTTTTGACCTAAAAGATCCATTCATTTGACTCCATTTTTAATCATTAAAACAAGGAAATGGTTGTATACAGATGGTAGTTTAGATACAATTAATAATTAACAAACACAATCTACTTTTCTTAGAATCAGTCATTTAAGAACAAGGGTGGGTGATGACCACCTGGACAATGTTTCGCTCCTGTTATCGACAAATATTTCACTTGATGTAGAGAAGTTATCAAACAATAAGCAGAAATAAATGTCTCATTAAATAATTAGCCACTATTAACTGTACTTTGTTTGTAGAAAAGAATTTGCATTTTTTGTTGATTGTGTTTGTTGTTATCCTGTTATTCTTGTGGACAAATATGGAACCTTGTTTAAATAATATAACATTAACTTTCTTTCTTTTTTCTTTAAACTTCCAGACCAAAGCAACCTTCTAGATGGAGCATCTGAGGTTAAGACAATTTATTATAGTACATTTGATATTATGTCCCTCCTCCAAGACACTGCATCTCCAAAATGTTACAACTCTTGACCTAAAGGATCCATTTATTTGACTCCATTTTTAACCATTGAACCAAGGAAATCGTTGTATACAGATAATAGTTTAGATACAATTAATAATTAGCATACACAATCTGCTTTTCTTAGAATCATGTCACTTTAAAAGCATAAATGAAATGGTTAAATTAAAATTGTCAGATGTAAAAATTGTCATCCAAATATTTTATTCTATAAAAAGTTTTTGTTGTTCCTTTGGATAAAAGTCAAATTGCACATTGGCAGGTCCAAATTTAATTTCACGGTTAAACACTTTACTAAACACTAAAATTAACAATGCACAAATTAGCAAAAAGTCAATAAGCTATAACTGTGGACAGCCAACCAAACTGAAAACCTCACCTTGCATAAGCGGATTGCATTTCCATAAGTTTCTGACCGAGTGAAGAAATTAATAGCCTGTTTTATGTCTCCTTGCATTTCATATTGACGAGCAAGTTGATAGCAAGCTGCACGATCCCCAGATTCATTGCAAATTTCACAAGCCTGGAAATTGAGAAACCATGAAATTTAAGAACTTTCACAAATGGCAATATTTCACATGTAACAATTGAATAATTTAATAAATTTAAATATATTCATGTTTATTTATAAGATTGGTGTTAATAAACATTGAAATATTAAGTCTTTCAACTGTATTATATTTTTATAAAACATGGGCTTAAAAAAAATGTTTTTTTTACTAGAGAAATCGATAGAGTCTACTATGACCAATAAATGGGGGATTAGTTTAATACTAAAGAACAGCACAAAACTGATCTCTCATTTTTGTCATAGAGTCCAAAATTACCAAAAAACTTTGTAATATAAAACAGATCCCCACTTTATTTGATGCCCACATTTTCTTCACATTCCGATTATTGAAAACATTCAAATGCTTTTCAGAATAATTTTCAGTCTGTAAAACTGATGATCAAAATCTATTTTCTTTTATTGCTACCAAATAATTCAATGCAGTAATTGCTATATCTGTTGTCAGTTATGACAGATAATGTTCAAGAGTTTCTACTTTTACAACAGAAAGGAAATTCTATATAACAGAAATTGTTTTACCTTGGTTATCTCTCCTTGAAAACAGAACACTCGCACAAGAGACAGGTAATCCTGGGCAATTTCATAATATTGGATGGTTTGTTTCAAGTCTCCAATGCTCTCCAGGTATTGGGCATACCACTTATACAAGGCCCTGAAAATAGTCATATACATGAACTATAGTTGTTTTATATTTAATCTCTTTTCATTGTACATGTTTGCATAACATTAACCTTTAAATGGGGGTAAAAGGTTCTATGAACATTCGCATCAAACGGATAAAAATATATGAAAATTCATTTTTCAAAGGGTAGTTTTTATGCTTATTTTTGTTTTAATTTTATACAAAAAACTAAAAAATAATATTTTAAGTCTTTCAGATTATAAAAGTAAAGAAAGGAAATAAAAATGTTAGGTTTGTAAATTTAATTTTTATGATTCTCCATGAAGCGTCACATGCACAATGCAGTTGTGCATTCTTTGCACCAAGTTCTCTCTATATTCACCTCCTTTCTCTTTGTATCCATGTGGACATAGCAATGTCTTTGGCTTGTTCTTTTAGTCTTATTTGTGGGAAAATACTCCAGGAAAGGATATAGACTCATAAATGCTCCATTTAGACTTGAAGTATATAATAAAGATGACTGTATTATAGGAAAAAGTTTAAATCATCAATTGATGATATCTGCTGATATCAATTGATACTGTCTACTGTTTAAGGAGTGATGGTAATTACTCATTTTCATACAGAAAACATTAGGCATTCATTGACCTAACAGTTAGCATTACTATCAGTTGAAATCTATAAAATGTTTCTCTTAAAAAAGTTTTTCAGGAAAATTGACAATGAAATAATTGTTATCTCAAGTCCATTGTTATTGCTCTTTCTAGTATGGATGGGAGTTTCCTTTCCATTTGAAGTAGTGTGGACAGTCAACATCTTGATTATATTTTTAGTTTCCATTCTAGTTAAATGTGCTACCCATTTTTGTTGTTACTGCTATTGGAAGTCTTTGAGTAATGTAGTTTTTGTTATTTGGCAAAGATATTGGTGATTTTGTAGTACCAGTCTATAGAATCTAATGCTTCTTCTTAAAGACTTAAAGGATTTATTCCTTTGAGACCATTTTTAATTATTGATCTAAGAAAAAAGTTGTAGACAGTGGATATATTTCTGAGATGAGGTATTATGTACATTATTCACATTATTCGGACTATTGTCCTCATCTTTGTTGCCATATTTATTACGTTTCGACCTTTCAGTATCTGTCTATATTTCTGAGATGAGGTATTATGTACATTATTTACATTATTCGGACTATTGTCCTCATCTTTGTCGCCATATTTATCACAACGTTTCGGCCATTGTACGCTCAGGCCTTCTTCAGGTGGTTGGAATTTCGAACTGAACCCTTAATTTCGCTCACTGGGGTAGACTGTTCTAGTTCCATTTGCCATGTTTAATGGATGTCAGTTATCTCCTGTTAATTTCCCTCTGAAAGTTCTCCACTGAACTCACTCTCTTTGGGTCCTGTCACTGGATCTAACTTATGCGCTTTATCCACTATGCCATGTGTCCTTGAGGACATCTGGGTATGAATTTCTGGGTATTATAAACCTAATGTCTTCAGCAACCATTTTTACCAGTGCTCATATTGCAATTTTGCTGTAATCATTACATGTTTTTAAATAAAGGGTTCAGTTCAAAATTCCAACCACCTGAAGAAGGCCAGAGTGTACAACAGCCGAAACGTTGTGATAAATATGGCAACAAAGATGAGGAGAATAGTCTGAATAATGTAAATAATGTACCTGTATGTATGTTTGTGTATGTATAAATATTAATGGTTGGTCTGTGTGAATTTATTAGTGTGTTTATGCTTGGATTTTGGTGAGTCTGATTATTTGTATATTTTTAGTTGTGTGTGATTGCTTGTATATGCTTTTTACCTGTATATACACGTCTGACAAAATTTTCTTTTGCATGTTTTTATATGAGAGTTTGTTTTCAATTTTATTCTTTTTGTTTTTATTCTTATGTTTTTCCTTCCTCTATTTCCTGCATGAATATACTTCCCTGTAGTTGTGTGCTTATATATTTACTTGCCTTTACTTATACATATGTGATTATGTATTATTATATGAATGTGTTTGTTCTCTCTACCTACTTATTTGAATTCTGACTTCCATGTATCAAATATGTGTAGCAACCAGAGATACTTTTTTATCAGCATCTAACTTCACTGATAAATTGTCACTTTGTAAACAATAATAATAATAATAATAATAATGATATATATATTTTTTTTCTCCTAGTTTCATTTATGAATAATCTTAAAATATTAAACCTAATGCTTGGTTAACTTTAGAATTTTAAATTTTTAATTTTAAATTCAACTATTAACTTAAATTTAATTTTTGTATTGATTTCTAATTTAATCTAATCCCAACTTTAATGCATTAATAGTTTGTACTTATAACAGAATATGTTGTGATATTATTTTAATTACCATATACTTGTATTCTGATTGGTCATCATAGGTTATGTAACAGTTTTACCTATTGAGGGGGTTTGGTTGGCTTTTGAACTCATAAAATCATTTATTTTCCATCCAACATCATCACTTCATAAGACACCAGCAATGTGGAAACAAAATTGCAACTTTTGTAGTATTATTCTTACAACATGTATTTGCTATAAATTTGAATATGTGTGTGTGTGTGTGTGTATACACGTGTAAAAATTCAGATACAGCTAAAAATATATCTGTAAAAGGAATAAAGACAAAAGGAAAACTTAGCCCATGTGTTTCGTCCTCTGATGGACTCTATCAAGGCAAATGTAAGGATTTTATTTTGCAACAAGTATTTATAAACAAAACTAAAAATATCATTAGTTTTTCAGAATTTTTAAATTTAAGAGATGCTCATAAATATATACACTAGGCGAATTGAAAGTCACAGTAAATTATGAAATTTAATTTAAATTATGAAATTTAATGTCCAATAAACGAAAGTGAGTAAATGTTGTTGATTTTTTTATAATGTAATTATTTTTATATTATTTTAGTCTATGATAAATTACATATTTTAAATAATAGAAGGTTTTGCATTTAAACAATATTTTTTTTAATTCTTAAAAATTTTATAGCCATATATGTTAGCTTAGGAAAGAAGTCGTTTTCTCAGGAAAGGAAACATTTGGAAAAATTCAGGACACAGATTTATATTTTGGTAAGATTTGATAGTGGCACTCTCAAGAGTTTTCCATCTAAGTAATTTACTTTCTCTTTTAATAAATATGGCATTCTTTAGAATGAAGTTGTGGTTGAATTTATTTCTATGTATAACTAATGCATTTGATAAATTATTATGTGTAAGACTCTTTCTGTCTTCGTGCATACGTTTTTTTTTTTAATTTCTTTAAGAGAAAAACTAATGAGAATTTTACTTACAATAAATAATTGTTGCAAAATAAAATCCTTGTCTTGATAAAGTCTATCACAGGACAAAATGAGTTGGCCAAGATATGTTGTCCTTTTGTCTTATATATATTAGTAATCATTTTTTATTAAGATAAGTTCCTGGTCATCTTTCCATGCCAATAGGATAAAAGTAAGAAATGATAAAAAGGTTCTGACTTGTCTTTACTCTTCTGAATATATTCTTGCAACTGTACAGGATTGTTATACAGCATACGTGGCACTTCATAGACATGTGTTTCTGCTTTCTTGTAACTAGGGAAGAAAAAAAACAAAATGGCTGAATTTTTAGTTGAAAGTAAATCCCCAAATGATAACAAAGGAATAACAAAGTTAAAATGAATGTAGTAGAAATAGATTTTTTTTTTCTGATTTCAAATCATTAAATATATTTCCTACATTTTATTCTTTTAATTGCAACCAACTTTGTATTTATAAAAAAATAAATGATGTTTTATTAACTTAGCTGTAACAGAGAGGAACATCCATAGACTGGCTAGTCGTGTTGTATGTACACACAGACATTTTTTTAGGGTATGTAAAATGAAAAAGGCATAGATGTTTGACTGTATTGAATTCAAGCTGAATTAAAAGACCTATCCATGATGGGCAAGCCATATGGTGAGGATGAATGATGATCATTTGCCAGAGATGAAGCTGAAATAAGATGTGCCACAGAATTATCCTTGTATCTCTTCTGTGGCACATCTTATTTCCCTATCCAGAGACTAGTTTACCAAATAAGATTGTCTTTGGCAGATGATTGTCATCCATCTACATGGCTTGCCCAGCACAGATAAGGCTTTTTTCATCTTGGATCCAATTAAACACAGACATCCGTTGCCACTTTTCCAAGAAAAGAGGGTGCAAGATGCAATTGACAATTCATATATCTGCCTGTATTTTGAGTTCTTAAACTTTAAACTGCATCTTTTGGGGTTATAATACCAATTAAATAAACAAAGAATGTTTATTCTTTTTGGGACCTTCAACTCATCCAAATGTAAAACCCACCCCTCTTAACTGAAGAAAAAGTTTTTTATCAAATAAATATATTATTTACACTAATTACATAGTGCAATAGATAAATTGTTATCTAAATTAAGCAAAAATGAAAATAACACTGACATCTCATTTTAACAGATATATTTACCAAAATTACACAAAAATATCTTGAAATAATAAAGAGTAAATTTATTCAATAAAATTGCCATTGGCTTCAATCATGGCCTCCTGATGACTTTAGAATCTCCTGCAACTCTTTTGAATGGTCTCCTTGTTTAACTTGGTGAACGTTGCCATAATCCTTGCCTTCAGTTCATCTTTGGTATTACAAGGAGTTTCGTTGGTCTCTCACTTAACTGTGTCGTACACATAATAATAAAAGGGGTTGTAGTTTGGGGAGTTAGGTGGACAGATGTAAGGGATGATGTGGTCACAGAAATTGTCTGACAGCCATGACTGGGCTCTCCTGCTTGTGTGACATGGTGCAGAGTCCTGTTGCTAGATATAGGGTCATCCAGCAGCCACCCGCTTCACCCAGGGAAGCACTACCTCATCAAGACACTTGATGTAGACCTCCATGTTGAGTCTGAGGCCCTCACCAACAAATTCTTTTCTTATCAGAATGATCAGAGTGAGTTTTCCGAGCTGCTGTAGTTTCATAATCCCCATTAGATTCATCCAACTCTTTCCAAATCCTCTGCACTCTCCTCAGATTGACACCCAATCACTGTGAAATGTTCATATTGGAGCTTCCGGTGCAAATGCCAAGCAGTACAGTATGCCATTTCCAAATTTATGGCAGAGTGAATTGTGTCCTGGTGTTATTTTTCTCACAGATAGTGCCCAACTGACCCTACTATATTCTGCAGTTGGCAGAATCAAAAACAAACAATACGTATGCATGAAATTAAAAATATAAAATCGCGACAATTTACCCATCGCATATCCCATATCTTTGTTGCTTTTATCACAATGTTTCAGTCATTTACTGATGAGTGAGAGAGATTTTTTTTTTGCAATGTGACAAGATTGAAAAATTGCCTTCAGTTTTTTATTTATTTTTAACAATTTCACTGCTGCATTGTTTTAGTATTGTTGCATGGCTTTGCTGGCCCACTTGTGGGAAAATAAATAAATTGCCATTTACTGAAAACAAAGATGCTGATGGTGATTTCTCATGGGCACAGCCATTTGTGCTTTGGTTAAATACTCTGCAGTACAGACTAAGCTAAAAAAAAAAACACGATTAAAAGAATAATAAAAATACATCACAAGATAGGTTATATTGTTTACTACTATATGTCTATACTAGTTTGAAAATTGCATTCAGCACTAGTTTATTTATAGTACAAATGCTTTCACTCTTTTGAAAATGTATACATATGTCAACAGCAGGCAATGTAACTTTCATAAAGATGTATGATTATATCAATAGCAGATGTGTTAACAACAACAAATATGAATTAAAACCTGATTTTTTTTCTTTTGCTCTGAAGATTATGTAATAGATGTTCTTAAAAATGAAATATTTATTTATTTAATAAAGGGTTTATTATTTGAGATTGCAAAAAAAATATAGCAGGAATCAAAATAAACTTATATTGCCTCAAGTAAAGCATGTGAGAAAAAATGAAGACTTACTTTTCAATGGCTGTGCTTGTTGAACCTTTTGCTTCCAAGTGTTTGGCAAAAGTGTGATAAGTACTTCTCAGATGAACACGGTCATGCAACTCAGCAACTTCCAATGCCTGAAATGGACAAAGAGGATAAAATGTTTATAAAAAGGGGGATAAATGTTAGATTATTATCATCTTATAAATCTTATTGAACAAATTTCATTTTTTATAACTAAAGTCCAGAAAAGAAGAACGTGATTCAGAAAAACATACCTTAGAATGATTAATAACTGATCAACATAAAAAAGAAGTAAACAAAACTGAAACAATTTTATATAACAATGAAGCAATAAATTGATTCCCTATTTTTTGTCAGTTTAAGTTTGATCACAAAGATAAAATCAAGGATAAGTTATTGTAAATTTTTGAGTAATTTAACTGATTTCCCTTTTGTTTAAAGATTTTGTTTTTATTGTTTAGAATTCTAAGAATGACTTGTAGATAAAATTTCAAACAAAAATAGTAATGATATGAATAGAGGGATCAGCTTTATATAACTAACAAGTACTAAAGTGATCCCTCACTTTTTAGTTATCATCTGTTCACAAGACATGAACTTTATTTTGATGAGAATATTTGGACTCGTCTTTTGTCTTGTTATGAGGGAAAAGTCTGTCTTTCCCTCTGTACATTACAAAAGAGGTCATTTCCTGATGTCTTCAAAGAGTTGAAGTTGTCAATATAAAGCACTTAGCAGCAATTTTTTATATGTCATTATATCTGCATATATTTACAACATAATCAGGCTTACGGCCACATCACATTGAAACACTGGTTCCCATGACAATCAATAGAGTTAAGCAACATTGAGCCTAGTCAGTACCTAAATGGGTGACTGCTTGGGAATACCAGGTACTTTAAGCTTGGATGTGTGGGTGGTGTAATGGATAATGGCTCGGAATTGTTAATTGCAGAACCAAGTTCCAATTCCTATAAAGTTCATTATATTCACTTACACACAAATATCATTGGGAAAGGTATGAATTCACCTCTTCTGCCCCCATCAATGGATTAATTAGTAAGACTCATATCATTAAACCATTATTATCTCAAGAAAAAAAAAGTTATGTACAAAATATTTACATTTTGGCATTAAATAACTGATAGAGGTTGATATGTGGCTAAACAAAAAAAAACAACCAACAACATAATCAACCTAAATTCTTGGGAGAAATGATAGCATTTTCAAAGACTTGATTTTATTCCAACTGATTTGTGAAAAAAAAAAAAACCAAAATACTCACGTTTTTCCATTCTGCACAATTTTGGTAGAAATTGTTCAACAAATCAAACCGTTTGCAACTCTTGAACAATCTTTCTGCATCTTCCTGAGAAAGAAAATCAGTTAATAATATAGGAAATTTAACAGAAATATTTTCCCCAATTGCCTAATAAAAATTAGGAATTATCAATATAGTTTAATTTATTTTAACTATTGTTCTTGTCTTGATTGTTATCAATGTTATTATAGTCACAATGTTTCATCCGAATACCCTCTGGCCATCTTCAGGTGTCTATTTAGTGTACTTATCTTGATTGTTCTAGATGTTATTACAGTGACAACATTTCAGCCAAGTACTCTCTGGACATCTTCCAGCACGAAACAATATACATTGGTTCAGTAGGAACAAACAAGAACTGGCATCATATGGACAAAATAACACAATAATCCACTGATATCCCATATCAGCCAAAAACAATGGACATCTGATGATTTAAAATTATTTCTGTAAAATGAAAAAAAAATCTTTAAAAAATAATTCTGTTTATTACTGAATGATTCAATAAGTTCAACAAAATTGTTTTTTTTTTTTTCTTATCTCCAATTTTCTTATTTTATTGCTCAGCTCTGTGTAGGGATTATCAAGACTCAAGAGAATGTATTATTTCAATGTCTTTTTCAAACTTAGGCAAATTGTGTTTATGTGTATATTAAATAGCACAATCACATGAAAGCCAATCGCACATAACACAGACATATGCATATACATTAAATACACACATGCAAAGTCACACACAGACTAATTCATTTTGTTAGTGAATCAACAAGGATCAAATGAATTTATTTTTATGGCGAAATACTTTTCAAAATGAGACAAACCTTTGCACTAAAGAGTTTTTAAAAGCTGCAAATACTTACAACCATATTGAGATGCAAGGCTAGCATTGCAACCCTGGCTTCAAGTTCGGGTTCTGCCATTACCCTGTTCAAGGCTCGCACTCCCTGAGCATGACCCATCTTACCCAGGCACACCTTGGCTACATCCAAACGTTGTGTTTTCACACACATCTTTGCCATGTTCTCCCAAACAGATTCACTGAGAAAAAACAGAGAAAAAAAGAATTTATGCAGTTGCCAAAAGAATGAAAAAATGTTTATTAAATAAAGTGAATGCTGATATTTTAAAAATTAGTTTTATTTTTGCTTAGCACTTTGACTTCTGTCAGCATTAAAGATATATATCATGGACTCTCCCGTCAGTTTTGACGTATAAGGATCTGACAACATAACCAATTGATTCAGTTATGAAATTTTGTGCGATAATCTTAAGTGACACTTAAGACCTACTAGTGATCTACAAAGGAGGCCACATATGGAGCAAGAGTGAGGATTGTGGGATGAGATCACTGTTAGATTGGCTGACCTTTAAGATCTTGCTCTTGCTTCTTGAAGATAATTCAGACTAGCAGATTGAAAACTGCTGAGTCCACTAAAACTCGTTGATCTCCATTCTACCTGCTCCAAGGATAAGAGCTCGAGGGTGTTATGAGGTATATTGACACCTGACATATTTCAATTAAAAGGTGCAATTATAACTTATAAATTCATGAATCATTCATACAAAAAACAAATATAGATTTAACTTAAATCATATACCTCTATATTTGTTTTTGTATGAATGAATGATTATATATATATATATATATATATATATATATATATATATATATATATATATTTCATTAATCCCTTATACCCTTTTACCTTATATATTTTTTGAATTATTTTTAAATCCATTTTTAATTTTACTATTTCCGTACCTGTGTTGACATATAGTAATGTACAATAAAACTCGTTTTGCAACATATTTCTATTATATCGCACGTTGTGTATGATATTTATCTTAGTTTATTCTGCAGAGTACCCAGTTGAAACCTTCAGAGTATTTTATTTCCTGTAAATGGCAATTTCCTATTTTCCCCCAATATGGGCCAGCAGAGCTAGGAAACAATGTGATAACAATGCAGCAGTGAAAGTGTTAATCAACCAAAGTTTTTAAACTATAGAGTATTTGAAAAAGAACATTTTTCAAGCAAATACAAAATAAAGTACAAAGTTGCAATAAAAAAGTACAAACTACAAAGATTAAAAAAAATTAATTTTAGAAAAACTTTGATCTTCATTTTTATTGTTTTCTTGACAATTGTTCCGTATAAGTTAATGCATCACAAAACTAAATGAGGTGGGAGGAAGAGAAGGATAAGAAGATTGTGTTGCACAAAGTGAAAAGTGTATGCTGGTTTTGAGGAGGAGAAAAAGCATTTGAAATCACGGCTTTTACCTGGGCTTGAATACTGATCTCTGCTAATACCACATGCCTCACTATTATTAATTTCTTTTTATAAAATCAAAGATAAATTTAGTATTTACAAAAAAAATATCAAAATAATATTTTTTAACATCAAATTATTAATATTAGGATTTTAATTAAAGATAAACTGGAGGATTAATTTATTAGCAAAAGAAGAAAAAATATCTGATTTATTTTAATTTTGTTTGTTTGTTTAGTGGCACATCAACTCCTTATGGGTCATTTAATGCTGAAATTTAATTTTTCTTGGAAGCATTAGTAATTTCTTTTACAAGAATATATTGCTGGTATTTTTATTATAAAATTTTTATACTTTCATAGTGTTTTGACCCCACTTTGATGGTTAACTATTTGCCCATAGCTGGGACCCTAACAGATGCTACCTCCGTGGGTCAGGGTGAACCTAGGAACAACATCAAAACTACATCTGGCAGCAAGGCCTCTGATTTGGAGTTTTGATGTTGTTCCAGGACAGAATTTTAATATGTGATTATAACTTGTTCTTTTAAATCTGAAATGAGGGATCAGTCTAGAATATGATAAATAATAAAACTGATCCCTGACTTTTTTTTGTACACAAAAGAACAAACCATGAAGTGAAACTAATACTGAGCCTCAGTAAACATTTTACCTTTTGATAAGTTTGATTGCTTTGAATGCTTCGTCCATATTTCCAATGGCCAAATGAAAACTAAAATCCATCATTGCGTCTTGAGTGTTTTTGTCGCTTGACTCCAAACCAATAAAATCTCGCATTGTGAGCTGAGCCACCAATGATGAGACATGGCCGTCTTTTTTGTTGATATCATTGCTAAAATTTGATTCTTCCTCACTTGACTGAAACAGCAATGCAAAGTTAAAATAAAACAGAACTTCAATGCATATACATCACTTCCTGTTCCTAGTAGATTTTCCTTCAAAATATCCCAACATCATTGACATTTTAGTGTTTGTGCAGAAAAATGTTTAACAAACAAATTAGACCCCTTCAAGCTATAGTGGATATTTATTAGCACATATTTTGGAAATTAATAAGTTTTCAAATAAAATAAAAGCCTCATTTTATTGAAAATTATTAATAAGATACAACATTCTCACTGAATGAATACCAACTTAAAATAAAATTTAGTTAACTTATAAGTTATGATTGATTCATTTTTTATGGCTTACCAACTTTTTGCTGGTTATTTAAAGCCAGAAAATATTTTTAAATTGGAAGAATTTTGGGGGGAGGAAGGAGGAGGTAATAATGATTTAGTGATACAAATCTTATTAATTAACTCATAGCTGGAGGGAGAAGAGGTGGATTCATACCTTTCCCAAAGGTATTTGCACGTAAGTGAATATAATGAACCAAACTGGAATTAGAACTTGGCTCTCTAATTAACAATTCCAAGCAATTACATCACCCACACATCCAGGCTTACAACACCAGGTATTTCCGAGCAATAACCCACCTATGTACTGACCAGGCTCGACATTGCTTAATTTTGGTGCTGTACAGGAACCAATGTTTCAACATGATATGGCCATATGTCTTATAATTTATGGCAAAAGATAAAAATTATACAACATTTAAACATATAACAAATTATTAATCTACAAATTTTCAGTTTTTAAGAATGCATTGTTATTAAATTATTAAAAATATTATTTCTTCAAGTAACATGCTTTCAAATAGAGCCAAGCATTTTAAATATTAAATATGTCAGATATAAATAAAAAGACAACATCTCAAGTAGATGGTCTGTGTAAAAGTCTATGTAATAAGAAAATTCATTAAGAATTCTTTCTGTGTCTTGTTTATTTTGTTGTGATGTTCAGGTGATATGTTGGTCTTGTCTGAAGGTTTTTTTATATATGTACTTTTAGGGTTAAAAAGGGCATCATAAGCCACAACAAGATTACAATATTACAAACAAAATCATATACGAGATACATTGAAATAAGCATAGAATTAAAAACAATAATTTGCTTTAGTATACATTTCAGAGAAATGATTGTATATTTTAAAAAATATATGTATACCTAAATAAAAAAATTTTGCTTATCTGTTAGTAGCAACATGCTTTATTTAAGACTCTCCAAATGTTTGCCTTCAATGGTGGTTGAAAACCAAAGAGAAAGAATGTTTCGATTTTTGTTTCTTCTGGCAGTAAAATACTTGATCTGATGCATCATGGGAGTATTCTATATTTATTTAACTATCTTTTTCTTTCTTTATTGTTAATTAACTTTCTTATCTGTATTTTAAAGCATTTTTATTGCTTAACTTTCAATTTTTCTTTTATTATTAATTATTTCAGTTCCAGACTATTATTGGAGGTTATTTAGTATTTTATGTAACAAAACCTAAATATGAAAGATATTTATACAAATTTTAAATTTATCACAAACCCAAACAGAATTTATTAAAATAATTTGGCTGGAAGCAAGGAATAAACAAAAACTTTTAAAATGAATTATCACCATCCCAAGAATGAATTTTTTAATTTATCATAAAATGTTTAAAACATTCAACCAAAACAATAAAATGGGACTTCAAAAATCACCTTTATGTAGAAACATTGCCATTTTTTGTGAAGATATAGATCTAAAGAATTTCCTGATTGTCCAAGACAGAATTCCATTTTAAAAAATAAAACAATCAAGTATGACAAAGAAGTGGAAGTCAATTTGAATGTAATGCTTTCTTTTCAGCCTAGTAGGATGTGTGCAGGTGGTGTAATGGATATTGGCTTGAAATGAGAAATCGGAGAACCGAGTTTAAATTCCAGTTGGGTTTTTTTACATTCACTTATTTGCAAATACCCTTGGGAAAGGCATGAATCCATCTCTCCCCTCCAGCTATAGGTTGAATAGCAGGACAGACAGGGTCCTACGAATGTGGCTGGCAACCAGTCAACTGTAGAAAGAAATGGCTACCTACTGCAGGAAAATATTCTGCCTAGTCAGTCATGAATCGAAAGAGACATGATCGTGTATCATGTATGGCACTTTGAACTGTCCGACTGAATAATGTTAAAAAAAAAAAAAAAAAGAATTAATGTAAGGGAGGTAACTGTTGAAAAATAATTTACGCATTCTTCAACCCTGATAGACGATCTTCTACAGAGGGAATTAAATGTGATATTTACTTACCGATTTTAGAAGGTAGTAATAGGGAACTTCAATTCCAATAAGGTATTTATAAGGTTCTTGGAGGGAAATATTTTCCTGAATCAAAATTCCATTGTCTGTCGTGCTGAACAGAGAAACAATCATAATTTCCACCTAAAAAAAAATTTTGAAAAACTTTTCATTAATAATAATGTCGGTGCTAATCTTCAAAGCCTCTTTATAGTGCATTCTTTATATATTATATATATATATATATATATATATATATATATATATATATATATGGAATCAAAAAGAAAATAATATACCTACTCTAGTTAAATGAGAAATTATTAAAAAAAAGTACCCCCTATATAATATTACCAATAGGAACTATAGACTGTTTAGAAGAAAAATTATCAATACTAACTTTTAATAATCCAATAAAATGATTAAATAAGAAGAATGAATTAATGGGTTGATGCTGACATATGAACAAATATTATCTTTTTTACTCTAATAATAATATAACATAATAAATCAATTAAAAATTAACTAAAATATTATTAATTAATAATAAAAACTAAAAATATTACAATTTAATTAATAATATAAATAATAAATCAATTAAAATATTAACTAAAATAATTTAATTAATAATAAAAAACTAACAAAATTAAATTTAATTAAAATATAACATAATAAATCAAAAAATATTAATTAAAAAATTAATTATTAATTAATAATAAAAACTAACAAATATTACAATTTAATTAATAATATAACATAATAAATCAATTAAAATATTAATTAAAAATATTAACTAAAATATTATTAATTAATAATAAAAACTAACAAATATTACAATTTAATTAATAATATAACATAATTTCTACATAAACAATAAAAAAATTTAATTTAATTTCAAAGCAAAAAAAAAAATTAAAATCTGGAATAAAATCAAGTTGAAAAAATTGAAAAAAAATAAGAAAAAACCATTTTGGAAATTTTACCCAGAAACTTCGAAGTCAGGATAAAATTGATCTCTAAAAGTTAAGTAATCTTTTCATATAATATTATATATAAATATATATGAATTAAAAAGATCAAATACCGATCAAATATGGACCGGAATCTGATAGGATGATAAAATAAAGAACAGATAGGTAACATATATCAATCTAACATGTTTCACTTTTATTAAAGCTTCATCAGAGATTGAGAGAAAACAGACAAAAAGACAGAAACACTGATATTGGAATTAAAATGGTCATATATCTGAAACTAAATCAGAATCTTATAGAAATTCATCTAAAATTTGTTCACATCCAGCTTCTCTTCAGTGTCATAGTCATGCTGTCAGTCCTCCCTGGGCCAAAATAATGTCTGATAAGAATAAATCTTTCATATGCAAGATCCACTTCAAGATCCATATGCTTATCCACTTCTGGATACATTCAAATTAACATTGACCAATGGGGACGTGTGGTTTTTCAGGGATATTCTTCAAATGTTTGATCTTCTTGTGAGGGATTCTGTATCTCCTCTCTTGGATTGGGCTTTTATATCACTTTTTTCTTTTTAAACCAATTCACCTCAAACAAAGTGATAATGCCACTAATGTGCAAGGGGGGCTACTTGGAGTGAAAGAGAGTGAGAAGACTTTAGAAGGAGCTGGAATCCCAATCTTATTCAGAAAACAAGGGACATACCCTATTCTGATGTCTTGTCCTAAATTCAGTTGGGTTCACTTCCTGTTTTATGTCTGTGCAGTCCCTACCTGATCAACCCTCAGAGGCACCTAGTTCTTTTGATGTTCTGTTGTGACACAGAGTACAAAAATTACTTTGGTATCTATTATTGAGAGGAGGGGCACCATTGATCAACTCCTCTCAGATCAAAGGTTCGCAAATGAGACATTAAATTCAATTCAGATCCCTCTTGTATTTTCTGGCATGAATCACATACTACAGTAGCTTTATCATCAGTACTAATTTCACTATCATCAACTAAAAGAATAGATTACAAACTCAATTTTACTAAATTCAAAAACAGAATCATTCATTAAAATTGGTTTCAAAAAGTATCAAAAATCATGAAAGAGAATTTAATACACCAGTAAAAAAAATACTACATCCTCAAATGGATATTACCATTCCAAAAGAATCATTGGAATCATTATCGTTGCTTTTGGGACTTCCTGGTTTTGACATTTCAGGTTCTTTGTGAATAAGTTTTGCTTCACAGCAAAGCAATCGTTGTTCTTTGGGATCCCAAAAATGTGAGATTGGATATCGACCCGACACATCTTTTGCAGCTCGGCTTTTGCTTCTACAAATAATAAATATAAAATAAATATAGAACTATTCAGCCTTAAGAGAAATGAAGCAATAATTAATACTCTCTCAAAAGACTGACTCAACCAAGGGTCATTTTCTGTAACCAAAATATTTTAACTGAATGTACCTGTGATTACTTTAACTACCTTTTTTTAATCTTGTTCAAATTTTTCATTTATATTTATTATTTGCTTAAAAATATGACAGATATACAATATGTCAAGTGTTTGACAACATAATCTGGACAGGGTTTGATATCATAGCAGTCAAATGAGAAAATTTATATAAGCAGACATTGAAGTCAATGCTCAGAGGCAACAGTCTGTTTCATGCTATATGTAATCATCAGGCCCGACAATTTTGTTTAGCATGAAACAGTCTGTCTCCTCTGAGCATGGACTTCAATGTCCACTTTTATATTTACATACTACTCTATCCCTGATATTGAGCTATATATATATATATATATATATATATATATATATATATATATATATATATAAAAATGCAAAAGGAAAAACTTATTTTAACCAACATGTTTCGCCCACTGATGAATATTATGAAGACAAATGTAAAGATTTTATTTTGCAACGAGTATTTATGAGGAAAAGTAAAATAAATATTCATCAGGTTAACTGAAAAGTCAAGGTAAATTATGGAAGATGCAAAGTGACATAATTTAATGTCTAATAAATGAAAGTGAGTAAATTATGTTGTTAAAATTTTTTTCTTTTATGCAATTATTTTAGTATGGAATAAATTTATGTATTATATATTTTTTAAAATAACAGGAGGTTATAAATTTAACTGTTTTCTTTTAATTTTTTTAAAATTTATGTATTCATGTATGTTGACTTGGGATAGTAGAAATTCTATCAGGAATGGAGATATTTGAAAAAATCTAGACCACTGACTTATATTTTTGTAATATTTGATTGTGCCACCCTTAAGAGAATTTTCTGTCTAAGTTACTTTCTTTATATATATATATATATATATATATATATATATATAAAAAAGAAAGAACAGTAATACTTGATGTGAAAGTAATTTTACTTACTGTAAGTGATTCTAATACATTTACTTGTTTTAAAAAGAAATATAGTATATTAAAGATTAAAAGTGAAAATTTTTTCAAATCGTAGTTAAATAAAACGTATTCTAACCTAAACACCCCCCAAAAATCTTTAAGTATACAAATAGAAAAAAATTCCGACTTGACTAGTTCAGACTTGGAGCAAAAAAGGACTAACTGACAAAGTTTATTGTTTTGTAATTAGAAAGGTAAACTTTTCATCCCTTTATCTATTCCAATGCTTGAAAATTTAATTTTAATTTTAAATATTTAAAATTATTTTTTAAAAAGTTACGTAAAAAATTTTTTTACTAGAATAAAGATTTATTTTTTTTTTAAATATTTAGGTACCACCAAAGATGCACTAAAAAATGCTGAAAGCTTAATAGAAACAAAGTTTTATTGTCAGAATATTTGTGTTATTAAGAGGAAAGACCAAAGGATTTTTCTGATGTAAAATATATTTTTTGACCCTTTTTAGTACCATCAAAATTTTGTTTTCCTGAAGTCATCATGATACCATGAATTAGTACAGGAAATCTGAAGATCATTTTGCAATAAAAATCACATTGATTTGGAAATTCTTGCAAAAATCAAATAATTGTCATATTTTAGTAAAACTTTCAAAACTTATTTTCAAATGAATTAAATTATTTTTGAAAGGTGTCTTTTTAAAAAAATCTTGGCAAAAACATACTTTTTGCACTTGCTACCCACTACTTATTTAATTTTATGAATTTCTGCATAATTCTTTTTTGTAGCACTTAATGTTTATATTAGTTATAATGACAATTTAAATCATCAAAATTTTTGTTCAAACATGACCCCACTTACCAAAAATCTGCTGTGAATCATAAAATAATGAAATGCAATTAAAACTAAGAAATTATTAATTAGAAAAGTTTTTAATTATTTTTATGAATAAAATATATTATGGACACTACTGTCTTAAGAAAAGAATTTTTTTTTTTTTGATGAATAAGGAATTTTTGCAAGAACTGTTTTCATTTTTGTAAAAATTTTAGTCTGGTTACACATGGCTATAAGTTCCATGGTGAAATTTTTTTCAAATCTAGTTTATTAAAAGATAACTTCTCCAGATTTTCATTTTCTCTCTTTTCAAACAATTTAAAGCATCTTCCTTCTCATTTACTTGGAAATTACAGATTTTTAAAGGCAGAAATGTCCTCACAAGGTAGCTGTAAAGGATTCTAACTTACCTGTTGGCATCACTCATTGGAGATCCATCTTCATCCTCTTCACTGGATCTTGGGCTGTTTTCATCTTGTTCTCCCCAACCAGTTGCAAAATTAAAAAACTGAACATTGTCAGATTCAACGTCCCAAATATAAAGTTTACTGTCCGGACTGCCATCACCCTGAAAGTAAATTGTCATTATCATTATTAGAAATAATTATATATTGATTTATTCTTTCATTTTCTATGGCTTATTAACCCCTTTCAGATTATTTAAAGCCAGAAAATATTTTTAGAGTGTAAGAATTTTTTTTATTAGAGATAATAATGGCTTAGTGATACTAGATGGGGGGAAAGGGGTGGATTCATACCTAATAAGAATTTGATAAATAAGAAATTATAATGTGAATATAAAGTGGGGGATAAATTCTATATTACAATCAATACACAAACTGATCCCACACTTTGTGGCCATGGTAGTTCCTATATATTTACATTTCAGATAATGTAAATAAATCTAAAAGATGTAGCTAATCAGTATTTCATTGATTGATTCACTTTCTACATACACCTTACCAACCATATGAAGGTTATTTAAAGCCAGAAAATATTTTTAGAGTGTAAGAATTTGGAGGGGGGGAGATAATAATGGTTTAGTGATACAAGACTTATTAATTAATCCATAGTTTGGAGGAAGAAGAGATGGATTCATACCTTTCCCAAGGGTATTTGCTTGTAAGTGATTATAATAAACATGGAATTGGAACTCAGCTCTTCAATTAAGAATTCCCAGCCACCACCTGCATATCCAAGTTTAGTGCATCTGGTATTCCCAAGGGGTAACCCACCTTGGTACTGACCAGGCTTGATGTTGCTTCATACTTTTGTCCTTGTGCCACATCTAAGTTACGCTTAGAAAAATCTTTGGGCATTTCAACATGGTGTAATGGTAAGCAAACTTGTCTTGCTAGATCAATTACGACTGGATAGTGAGTTTAATCCTCACTGGGTGCTTCATACTTTTGGCCTTGTGCCACAACTAAGCTACACTTAGAAAATCATTTGGGAATTTCAACATGATGTAATGGTTAGCAAGCTGGTCTTGCTAGATCAATTACGACTGGATAGTGAGTTTAATCCTCACTGGGTGCTTCATACTTTTGGCCTTGTGCCACAACTAAGCTACACTTAGAAAATCATTTGGGAATTTCAACATGGTGTAATGGTTAGCAAGCTGGTCTTGCTAGATCAATTACGACTGGATAGTGAGATTGATCCTCACTGGGTTCCTCATACATTCTGCCTTGTGCCACAACTAAAACCACTACACATACATACATACATACATACATATGCACCCACACACACATACATACATCCACTCACACACACCCTAACATACACATAGTTAATTGGTTGACCCAAAAATAACTGTCATTCTATCAAATTCCTGACCTTGACACACAAAATGCTGACTTGATTGCCCGTACAACTGCATTTAATTGAGGAAATGTAGCCAAGATCTGGTATTAACCCTTTCAAGCTTTTTGGAACTGCATGTGGGCGGATTTTTCTGAAATGAAATAAAAAATAAATAAATATCAAAACTTAAGAGATCAAAGTAAAAAATAAATATCCAATTGTCTAAACAATCAAACATATAAGAATTCTTTATAAAGAACAAAGATAGTTTTTATTTGTCACTCTTTCAGTATTATGTGTTCAATACAACAAATGCATGAAACAGAGATAGAATTTAGATTGTACAAAAAAGATAAAAATCAAGTGTTAAAAGGAAAATTGAACAATTAAAAAGAAATTCAAATATTTAAACAAAATCATTAAATAAAGAACAAGTAAGAAATCTTTATAAATTTAACAAGTTTCACTACTTTATTTAGCTTCATCAGAAAATTTTGTGAGTGAAATGGTTTAAAGTCATATTTCAATTTTTAAATTCTATGTTGTATTTTTTATTGGTTGTGTAGACATATATATATATATATATATATATATATATTATAGCATCTGTGTGTATGTTTAATTTTTAAATGTGGAGAACACATATCAGTACAGATGCAAAAGAGGCCTTGAGTCATGTGCAGACAGTTAATCACATCTGGATTTCTCAGTTACAGGCAGAACAGCTTGGTATATCCAGATATAGACCTCTTTGCATTTTGCTCAGATCCAGGTCTTTGTTAACCGTCTCTCATCAATTAAAGCAACAGGAAAACCAGCAGTCTACTTTTGGTGAGATTCACTTAGCTATCATCAGATATTCAGTGTCTTGTAAAGTCATTCCCTTGGTGCATTTTGTTCTGGAAGTTACTACTCACTGTGTTGTGGTTTTTGAGGCAGTACTCTTACTCCTTAATATAAAGTTTTTTTGTTTTTTTTCTCCTGCCTCTCTCCCTTCTCTGCCTATTCCCCCTTAATTGCTAAGAGAACAATCTGTTACCTGTTAAGTGTCCTCAAGCCACCCCACCAGCTTCAACAGACCCTTACCTTATTTTTCTCTTTTTATTGAACTGACAAGAACTGATTTATCACTTTTGGTCTTTTTAGAGGAGAAAACTGTTAAAAATTCAAATTTTAAAATAACTGAAAAAAATTTAGTAATCTTAAAAGTTTTTAATTTATATTGAGTACCACAAAACTTTGTAAATTTAAAAATTTTTGTTTTAAATTCAGTTTAAAATATCTCGAAAACATTGTGAATTGCTGAAATCAATTTTATTTCTTCAAAATACCAAAGAATCACAGTTAAAGTGAAAAGGTTTCATGACGTGAGGTTTTGAAATGTTGTAGATTTCATGAGTTAAAGAACTCAACTCAGTTGAAATTCCAAGGAGTTTGTTATTTGAGGATCCTAATGATGAAGAAGTTTTCAACCTGTTGGCATAGAACTCTTCATTAATGGTGTGGCACTTTTAAAGGTAGTCAATAAACACAATGTCTATTGCATCCCAAAAGAACTGAGGCCATCACCTTCCAAGATGAGGACAACAGTCCAAACAATGTAAATAGTGTAAACATGTTTATATATGACAATGTATCCTGTCTTTCTGACTATTTATTCTTTGTTTTATTATATATATATCTTTAAATATCTTTCAGGACATAGGCGATCATGACTCTCCAAACTTCCTATCCTTTGACAGACTTCCAGGAAATGTAGTTTACTAACCTCTTAGACAAATCAAAAAGTCGAATTATTCCATTGGCAGTAGCAACAGCCATAAAATGCTCACTGATATCCATGCAGATAGGCTGACCATCAATTTCGGTAAATTCAAGCACTTGTTTTACTGTACCCTACAAAACAAATGAGAAGTGATTGATCAAAATTTTACCTGTGAGACATATTTTGTTATTTTAGCCAAACTAATTGGATATTTATCTATATTCTCATGTGGTAAAGAATTCAATATGTTTTATGCAGACATTTAAGAAAATACCTGTAGTGTTTAACTTCAGACATCAAGAAATGCCATGACCTTCTTCTAAGAAGAAATATGAAAGTACTGTTTAGAAAACGGATATCCAGTGCTAAGATTAAACAGTTTTCAAATCACGGTGAAAGTAAAAGTCCATGATTCCCATATGCTAGAGGATTTGACATTGAGCCATTTTAAATTACACTATACTTTTATGCTGCTCAAGAGATCAATCCGAAGTTAAAATTAAGAGAGTGATATCATTTACATTCAGATTAAGGTCTTCATTATCACAATGTTATGGCCATTGTGCCCCTCATTATCTTCAGCTGGCTGTCAATCTGAGTAACCTTTAGGGAACATTTTCTTCAATCTATGGGGTTAGACTATTCTTATTCCACTGTCCATGTCTAGAGAGATCTCACCTTGTTCTTTTTTTTAGTACTGCTAATTTAATGCTCACCTTATTCCCACCAAGTCTACATCTATACTACCTGGCCCAACATTCTAAATATTAATAGGGTGTTATCCTGTGGGATGATAACAGAAATGACAAAAACATTAGGGACATTAGTCCAAATGTAAATAATCTATATTATAAAACAAGAACTGATTTTCTTTCTGTCATGCTTTGTTTACATGCATATATGTAATGTATATGCCTATCTTCATATCATGTGTGATTGACACTCATCTGCTTAATGTATGCACAAGCACACACGCTCAATTTGACTAAATTTGAAATAAGACATTAAAATAATACATTCCCTTTTCAATCAGTCTGGACAGCTCCTACCCTAGACTGAACAATAAAATCATAAAAATGGAGATAGAAAAAAATAATTTTCTAAACCCTTAAAAAAATAATAAAAAAAATATAAAATAAATATAAAAAAAATCAAATATGTACAAGATTTTATTAAACTTTTTGGGAATTATTTGTTAATAAACAGAATTATTTTTTTTTTAAGTCTGTCACTGAATTAAAATATACAGATACACAAAAATCTATATATCAGGGTTGATGCTTTTTTCCCATTTTTGCACATAAATAAAGCAAAAGAAAGACCAAAAGTGATAGGAATAGTTTGAAAGATTAAGAGAGACAGACAGATAATTTAGGGTTGACAAATTAACAATTTTTGGTTATCTCTGGCTGACTTTTTCCTAATTTAATCAATAAAAAGTCTACATTTCATTTTTACCATTTTTGAAGGTTTTGGGTGCATCTACATTCAACTTAGTCTTGTTTTTGTTGTTGCTGTTTTTTTCAGATAAGGTCATACAAGTATTTTATTTTTACAGCATTTTAAAATAACAGATTGACATGTGATTGTTAGCTATGTATGATTGAGTTGTACATCAATAATTTTGTCATAAGTAGTTTGCTAGCAAAATTGCCAGCTAGTGTTGTTTTTTTTAAAACTTAGATCTGGGTTTATCAATTCCTGTGTTGTTTATTAACTTTGAAATTTGAAAGGGTGTTGAGCAGCGATATACTTTCTGTAGTTAAGCAACTCCTGTCAGCAGTGGCCTCGTCATCTGGTGATGAACGAGTTTTCTCATCCTATGGACTGATACATTCCAAACTGAGATACCATCTTGGTATGGATAAAGCAGCAAAACTAGTCTTTATTTAAATCCATGAATGTAAACACTGTTCATGTTTAAATTGAATTTTAAAATTTGTTAATGGTTAAAATTTTTATTCTATAGTAAAAAAAAAAAAAAAAATATTCAGTTGATGAATAAATACTTGATTCAATATGTTTAACACTTTTCTTCCTTCGTGAAAACAAAAAAATTGTTTTATTTCTAAATCTTTTGGTCTAAATAAAGATTTTTGTAAAATTGATTTAAATCAGTGATTTTAAAAAAAAATCATTTGATTTAAATCAGTTTGATTTAAACTGAACAAGCCTTATATATATATATATATATATATATATATATATATATATATATATATATATATATATATATATATACACACACACAATTTGAATGAAATGAACATCATTGTTTCAAGGTCTCATTTCCCCTTTCTGCCTGGCAACAACCCTGGGTAAACAAGAAAAGAGTATAAGCTGAAATGTGCAGTCCTTTGAAGTTAAAGGCAAAATCCAGTCATCAAAAGAAATTTCTATAAAATTGACAAGAGAAAAACAAATACTTTTCAAAGAATTTACCTGGAATGTTTTCACTTTGACTGCAAATTGTTCAATCACAAGAATACTTTGTTCAAAAATGCACACATTCATGGAATCAGTTCCAAAATTAGCTGGAAATTTAGAAACAGAAAACTCAGATAATTATAAATAATCCATGACATTAAAAATAAACATTCAGCAATGAATTCAGATTATCTTTCAATAGCATCTTTTTCTCAAAACTGCTCTATATGATTATTTTGCTTTTATTAAACAAATTAAGGATATGAATACATACCAACAGGTTTGACGTAAGAATTATCCGCAGAATATTCATAAACATGAATTTGTTTTCCATTCCATACGGCAAGTGCATCCTGGCAGAATAAAAATGGTTTTGAATCATTTCAAATCTCTTTATACATTAATACTTGCAAATAATCTTCAGTATATATATATAAAAAAAAAACTGAATAGATTAACAACGCACATATATATACCTCTATAAATACACTTGTTTCAAATAGGCAGGATGGTTGAAATAAAAAGGAGGGTTGGAATTTTTTTTTTTTTTTGTTAATTTTCTGTAATTAAATGTTTTATCATAGAATGCACACAGTCTAAATTGAGTAAATTTTCGTTAATAGAATTATACGATTTATCTCCCCTTGACGCTATCAGCAGACTGAAAATAAGATTCGTTTCAACTGAATAAAGGAATTGTTTTAAAATTCAGGGAAAATTACCAAACAGTGACAGATTCCTGAAGAAGAGCATATAGTAAAATGACTATTGTGATAACAATCAAGTTGAGAACAAGTCAGAATATATATATCTGTTTGTCTGAATTTCTGGGATGATGAATTATCATTATTTACATTGTCCTTTACTATTGTCCTCATCTTTGTTATTACAGTTTTTTGGCCATTGTACCCTCTGGCCTTCATTGGGTACTTGTCGATTTGGGTAAACTTCAAGGAATTTCAAACTGAACCCTTTATTTAATCTACTGGGGTGGATTGATCCTATGACCGGTGTGGAGAAAATGAAAAAAAAAAAAAAAACAATAAAAATAATGAATAAAAAAAAAATTCCTTTTCCCATGATGCAATTTATAAAGAAAACCGGAAAGGGTTTCTGGTTACATGCGTGATATTATAACCCCACTTACAGAAAAGGACAGAATCTTTCTCTTTCCCCTTTTGGCTTCAAGATGTGAACTACACAGTAATAGTGTTCCCAATGGAGAATGGTAATTTCCCCTGCCAACTGACGACTGAACATTTTCCACCTACCAACGACATCCCTACTCATAAAGTAGAAGTTCAGTCTTCTCAACTCAGGGTGAAGCTGATTTGAGCTCAATCATGTTTACCCATTCGTGTCCTTACTTCCCATAAATCATTTCAGAACCAAAAGGAAAACGGACATATTCAAGAGACCTTTTAACTTTATTTCAATTCAGTTGACATAAAACGAATAAACATCCATAGCAGAAACACAAGTTTTTTGTATGCTTCTTCTATCTTCTTAATATATATTGAATACACACCTTCACCTAAACATATATACAAAACCTGCAAGCTTGTTAACATCTACACCATGCATAGAGATCTCTCATTTAGTTATGAGTTTTATATTAGTGGAAAGCACAGTTGCTCTGAGAATAAAACAATTAAGTTATTTTGTGATATCCAACAAACCTTGTACTTAGTGTGTGTATACACACACACATATATATATATATATATATATATATATATATATATATATACCACTCATTGAGTGCTGGTGTTATTAAAATAGTGTTTGACGTAATAACAGAACTACTAAGTATATATTAATAAATATACATATTATTCCTCACTGGTAGCATGAGTCAGAGTCCCTACTCAGTACCTGAAGATTGCACTATGCATGAAACTTCAAGACATGCTACTGGTGAAGAATAATATGTATATTTATTAAAATATATAACAAAATAGACTCTAGTTTCAGTGGACTGATTTAAAATCCAACCACACCAAACAGCTCTAATAAAGATAAAACAAACAGGTGGACAGAGAGACAGACACTCTCTTGAGTCTGGACATTGGAGGTGATTTGGTCACCACCTATCCTCAGAAATCCCAGGGCACTTTCCCTCACATACAGATTTGTTCTTCTTTCATTCTAACTTGAGGAAGCAAAAGAGAGCAGACACTCTGGCAAAAGGTGTCATTAAAAATGTTTCCATTTTGTCTCATCATCTTTATATATATATATATATATATATATATATGAGAGAGAGAGAGAGAGACACACACACAGGGTGTGATGGGTAAATTGTTGGCATTTTATATCTTTAATTTTGTGCATTGTTTGTTTTTGATTTTGTCAACTGCACAGTATAGTGGAGTCAGTTGGGCACTATCTATGAGAAAAAAAGAACACCATGTCACAATTCACTCTGCCTGAAATTTGGAAACTGCATGCTGTACTACTCTGCATTCATACCAGAAGCTCCAATACAAACATTTCAAAGTGTTTGGGTGTTAATCTGAGCACTGATCAGAGGATTTGGAAAGAATTGGATGAGTCTAATGGTGATTTGAAGTGATGATGACATTATGCCTCCATTTATCTTCCCACAGAGCCTCAAACTTAACACAGAGGCTTAGATCAAGTGTCTTAAAGGGGGTAGTGCTGCCCTGGGCCAAGAGGGTGGCTTCTGGAAGACCCTATGTCTGGCAACAGGATTCTGCACCATGCTACACAAGCCTAAGACAGTCATGGCTGTCAGAAATTTTCTGCAACTACATCACCCCTTACATCTGGTCACCTAACTCCCCAGACAGCAACCCCCTTGATTATTATATGTGGGGGTGCTGTTGAGCAAGAGACCAACAAAACTCCTTGTAATACCAAAGATGACCTGAAGGCAAGGATTATGGTAGCATTCATAAACTTAAAGAGACCATCCAAAAGAGTTTCAGGAGATTCCAAAGTCATCTGGAGGCCATGGCTGAAGCCAATGGCAATTTTAATATATAAATTTGCTCTTTGGTAGTTCAAGATATTTTTTGTGTAATTTTAAATATATATGTTAAAATGAAATGTCAGTGTTATTTTCATTCTTGCATAATTCAGACAAAAATTTATCCATCGCACAATCTCTCTCTCCCTCTTTGTGTGTGTGTGTGTATATATATATATATATATATATATATATATATATATATATATATGGGGGGGGGCAGTGTTAACATCCATTCACTATACATTGGAATAAATTATGATGATCACCATAGACCAACTGGAAGTCTAGCTAAAAGAAAAGAACCCTTGGAAGATCAGACTATTCAAGTGGAAATGACAGACTAACTTATTATGACAATCACTCCAATGTATAGATTGACTGATTTGTTTTTTTTATGGATTATCAACCTTTTGCAGATTATTTAAAGCCAGAAGTGTTTTTAGATTGAAGAAGTTTTGAGAGATAATAATGATTTACTGATACAGATCCTACTAATTAACCCATAGCTGGGGAGAAGTAATGGATTCATACCTTTCCCAAGGGTGTTCATGCATAAGTGAATATAACAAACCTAACTAGAATTGGAACTCAGCTCTTGGATTTCCATTTCTGAACTGCTGTCCATTACACCACTTGTATATCCAAGCTTACAGCACTTGATATTCCCAAGTGTCACCCATCTACAAGATCATATGAGAACCAATGTTTCAACATGATATGGTCATAGGCCCTTCCGATTTATGGAGAAAAGGAAAGAAGAGTTCTTTTTTCTTACCTTTGTTGTGTAAATTCCTTTCACTTTCATCTCACATTTTACTGTTTGTTTTTTGCCATTTGTAAAAACTTCAATTGATATTGTAGTTGGACTCATTTGAACCACTGATATCTTTGGATAAACGAAAGTAAAAAATGATGTTTTCAGTTGAAGATCCAAAAAATATTGTCAGCAGAAATGAGGAAATGTTTTTTGCTTTTTTTTTTAAAGATCATTTTTTGTTCATGGAAGAAAATAATAAAGAAATGCACAGGAAATATTTACAAGTTAATAAGACAAATTATCAAGGATTATGCCCCCAAATTGTTGTGTGAATTTATATAACAAGCATCCAAACGTTTATTACTAAATAAATTCTGAAGATGAAAAAGTACAACTGTTCATTTCCTGAATCTAGATAATGATGTGAAAAACTGATATCACTTTCTTTTTGTAGATTTTCATGTAATACGTTGTAATTTAATGTTAGCAACTGTGAACTTAACCCCATTAAGTTATTAACACATTGTCCGTCAACCATCAGATAACACGTGGTTGATATTTTTTTTTTTATGATGTCAACTAGGAGTTATTTCATTTTTTTTTGTGCTCTTGCAATCAACGTGTCTGGTAAGTTCGCTCATGATTGGCAGTTTTTATTATGATGCCGATCATGAGTTATCTTGTTTTTGTGATCTTGTCATCAAGGGTACAACCACAAGTTTATAGTTATATACAACTAGTACCTGGCATCTATGATAGGAATGAAAAATCATAGTGGCAACTAGAAATAAACTTTTTATGGGAAAAAGTTATTGAAAAGTTAACACATAACTAAAGCATTTAAAAAAGAGTTTATTGCCTAAATTGGCACTTGAAGTCTGATTTCATAATTGTCCTCTGGTTGTCAACATGTTAAAGTGGTTTAATGAAGCAACAATATGGATTTCTATGGCATTTATAGATTAAACTCTGAAAAGTTATGAATGAAAAATGTTCTCTACTTGTTGCAGTAAATCATAAAAAAATATTACAAAAAATAAGAGATAAAGATATAAACAATGACCGACCTGTTTATTAAAACAAAAACACATGACATTTTCACTGAGGATCAGGGCAGAACTCCACAGATTAACACAAAGTAAATTCTTTGGCAAACTCCACTAAAAAAGAAAACAAACATTCAGCAAATAGGGTTGGTTATTTTAAAAATCAAAATAAAATAAAACTTAATTGAAATTATTTATAATCAGTTTTGTAATATACATGTTTGTCTTTCACAAAAATACCAAATCTTTACTTAGATCCCCAGACAGAGACATTAACTTCTTTGACGTCAAAGCAGGGGTCCATCAGGGTGACATCCTTGCTACTTTTCTCTTTTTTATTACCCTTAACTACATATTGACAACACCAAGACTTTCAAATTGATACCCTGCAAAAAAGTTGACTGCTATTGACTATGCATATGACCTAGCTATCACTGCAGACACCAATGCGACAGTTCTCCTACATCATCTAGAAAATCCTGCTTATGATGTTTAACTCTACATCAATGTCTCTAAAGCTGAATTATAAGCTTCAACCAGCAAGGCTCCATACAAACTGTCTCAAGTGAATCAATAAAATCTGTCAAATCTTTTATATACTTAGGAAGCGAAATAAATTCTACTGAAAAGGATGTGAACATTCACATAGCTAAAGCCTGGGCAGCCTTGAATAAAATGGATATAATCTGGAAATCTGATCTTCCAGACAAACACAAGCAGAGATTCTTTCAAGCCACTGTAGAGGCAGTGTTAAAGTATGGTGCCACTGCCTGGACATAAAACTAAAACCCTAGAGTCTAAGCTTGATGGGACTTACATTTGGATACTGAGAACTATACTTAACTTTTCTTGGATTCAACATTCAACTAAATCGCAGCTCTATGGACTCATCCCTGATATTTCTACAATCTTACACAAACACAGAACTTGCTTTGCAGGACACTGCTAGCAAGAAAAACAAGAACTTGTGAGTGATCTACTCTTCTGGGCACCTAGCCATGGAGGAAGCTGGGTTGGCTGTCTAGTAACCACCTGCATTGATTAGCTATGTTTTGACACAGAATGCCGCCCTAATGACCTTCCAACCTTGATGCAGGACCATAACGGTTGGCGTGATAGACTCATGAATGTCCGAACTAGCCCGACCAAATAATAATAATAAATAATAATTAGTTTGTTTTGTTTTCACAAATTCTAACAAAAATGAACAAGAAATGTTCACCATGTTTGGAATTAATGGGATTCTTACCATAAGATGTCTGACAGGCCCATTGACAGAAATTGGAGACTGCAATTTCCATTTTGTTTCTCCATCAACTTTTTGGGAAACTGTTGGAGGTGTAAAAGAGGAATATTTCCACATGGCAACATTACCCATTTGAGTGCCAGCAGCAACAATTCCTAGAAAGAAAAACAATTGGAATCATTTGTTTTAGGTCTTATAGTAATAGTAATTAGAAATGTTTGGCATTGAAAGGAAAAGGCAGAGTATAATAATAGCCAGAATAAACATCAAACCCTTGTATTGTATGGTTTTAAAACCTATGAAATATTAAGGAATTAGAGAAATTTGAGTCCAATTTAATTGGATTAATTAAAACAATACGGTATAGAAAGATTACTAACAACAAATTAGCAAAGATCTGAAAGATATAAAAAATAACAAGAATGTTTTTGTAAAAGCTGACAAATCCTAAATTTTTGTACAAGATAAGCCCCAAGAAATATAATAATATGCTTAATAAAGAGGTAATTAAGCATTATAAAAAAGCCCCTGCTAATCTAGAAACTGAGTTGAAAAGAGAAGCTAGCATATTAGCCAATAAATTTAACTTAGAAAATAGGGTTGAAAAAATTAGCATAAAAAATTGTTTTATAACAATTAAAGATCATAAAAACAACTTTCTGAATAATCCTGAATGCCGACTTATAAACTCCCACTAAAACACAATTGGGTAAGGTTAGCAAAATAATCTTACTAGAAATATGCGAATCATTAAGAACATTCTTAAATATTAATCAATGGCGTTCCACCTACGACTATATCAAATGGTTTAACAATTATGATAAAAATAACAAATGTTCTTTCATTAAATACAACATAAAAGAATTCTACCCATTGATCACTGAAAAAAATACTTGATGAAACCTTACTATTAGCTAAAGAATTTATATCAATTTCTAGCGATAAAATTAATCTTATTTAATATTGCCGTAAATCATTATTCTTCCACAATAACGAATTATGGATTAAAAAAAGGTGATAATGGCAATTTTGACAATCCCATGGAGGCATATGATGGTGCAGAGGTATGTGAGTTGATCGGATGCCTCCTACTTAACAATTTAAATAAATATATAGATCCTAGCAATCATGGTCTGTAAAGAGACGACGGATTAATTATTGTAGACAAAAGTAACCCTAGAAAATGTGATGTAATCTGAAAGAAACTTCACTGGTTGTTTAAAAAATTTGGATTTAACCTGGATATAGAAATAAACTTAAAGGTTACCCATTATTATGCTGGATTCACGTGATGGTACAATTTCACCGAATAGAAAGGATAATCAGTACCCACAATATATTGACGTAGGTTCTAACCACCCAGCACAGATTTTGAAACAAATACCTAAAGGTATTAATCACCACAGATTGTCCACTAACTCATTGACTAATAATATTTTTAACAAAAATAATCTATGAACAAGCTCTAAAGAATAGTGGACATGATATTAAATCAGAATATAATGATTACCCTAGAACACAAAGTAAACATAAAACCAGAAGTAGAAAAATATTATGGTTTAACCCCCCTCCCCATATAATTCAGTGGTGAAAACCAACATAGGCAAAATATTTTTTAGACTACTTAAAGAGAATTTCCCACAATCTAATAGATTGCATAAAATCTTTAATGAAAACTACATCAAATTAAGCTATAGTTGTATGCCTAATGTGACCAGTTTAATTAATAGATTTAATATGAGAAAAATTAAGGACAAACCACATGCAACCCCCACCAAGTGTAATTGTAGGAATAAGGAAACCTGCCCTCTCCAGGGCAAGTGCTAATAAGAGTGCATGGTATAGCAAGTAAAAATATATAAGGATAAACTAAATAATACTGATAAAAATCATAAGGTCTACATAGGATCTACCCAAAATGAGTTTAAAACACGATACTATAACCACCTTAATAGTTTTAATAACGAAACATACAAACATAGCACCACTTTATCCACTTATGTATGGAAGGTCAAACAAGAGGATAATAAAGACACCATTTTGAAATGGGAAATATCAAAAAAAATGTCACAGGTATAAAGCAGGTGATAAATTTTGTTCACTATGCACAGAGGAAAAGTTAGCTATTGCTATGTATAAAGAAACCCAATAATTTATTAAATCTAAAATCTGAAATCCTGAGTAGGTGTAGACATAGGAAATGCTGGTTATTAGAATAGTTTTTTTTTTTGGTTCCGTTATTGAATAAAAACATAACTGTAACTAAGGTTTGCTCAGTATTGTTGCAGTATGTTGTTAGCTACTCTAGCAGACAGGCATACTTGTATATGAGTGACCAGCAATTATATATTTATAATTAAATTATATAATTATAGTTGATCAGGAAGGTGACTTTTTGATATTATCGATCTGAGGAGGTGATCCCAGCATATTTGGAAAGTGCCTGAAAACCATACGCAAGGTTGGCCCATCCATGCCTTGTGAGGGAAATTGGGTAGACGGAATTGTTCATCAATGTTTGTGCTAGCACAAATTCACAAGTCATCGTGACTGAGGAGTTGAGTGTACTGGCCTTGTTCAAACTGTTGATCATGCCAGATAATGCACTCTCTCCCAGAAACTGTAACTAAGGTTTGCTCAGCATAGTTGCAGCATAAATCACAATTGAGGTCTGTGGGTATTGAACAAACACAAATGTGCCTGAACTGGCATCTGTGACAGGGATTGGCTAGCTGTCCTAGCAGATGAATGTGCTCAGAAAAACGAAAGTAGCCAGCCATATATCAGTTATGTTGTGTGGGTGTCACATTCCACCTAATTTTATTGATCACTGTCAAGGTTGACATTAAGAGTAAAAGCACTTTACTATTATTTTCTGGAAAGTTAAGGTTGTTGTCATAGAGTAGCCAAGTAACAAAAACCAGATCACATAACACTTCCAATAACAACAGCAAAAATAGTTACCGCAACTAACTAGAAGGGAAAATAATAATATAATTAAGCTGTTAACTTTCCACACTACCTTAAACAAAAGGTTTGAAAGGAAACTCCCATCAGTATTAGAAAGAGTGAAAAACTGTTTTAAAAAAAGATTTTATAAATTTCAACTGACAGTAATGTTAAGTGTACAACGAATGCCAAATGTTAACTGTACAATGAATGCCAAATGTTAACTGTACAACGAATGCCAAATGTTAAGTGTACAATGAATGCCAAATGTTAACTGTACAATGAATGCCAAATGCTAACCAAATGCTAAATGCTAACTGTACAATGAAACAAAAATGTTAAGTGTACAATGAATGCCAAAAACAATGAATGCCGAATTTTTACAATGAATGGTTTTATGCCAAATGTTTTCAACTGACAACGAATGCCAAATGTTAAGTGTACAACGAATGCCAAATGTTAACTGTACAATGAATGCCAAATGTTAACTGTACAATGAATGCCAAATGTTAAGTGTACAATGAATGCCAAATGTTAAGTGTACAATGAATGCCAAATGTTAACTGTACAATGAATGCCAAATGTTAACTGTACAACGAATGCCAAATGCTAACTGTACAATGAATGCCAAATGTTAAGTGTACAATGAATGCCAAATGTTAAGTGTACAACGAATGCCAAATGCTAACTGTACAACGAATGCCAAATGTTAACTGTACAATGAATGCCAAATACAATGAATGCCAAATGTTAACTGTACAACGAATGCCAAAATGAATGCCAATGAATGCCAAATGCTAACTGTACAATGAATGCCAAATGTTAAGTGTACAATGAATGCCAAATGTTAAGTGTACAATGAATGCCAAATGCTAACTGTACAACGAATGCCAAATGTTAACTGTACAATGAATGCCAAATGTTAAGTGTACAATGAATGCCAAATGTTAAGTGTACAATGAATGCCAAATGTTAAGTGTACAACGAATGCCAAATGTTAACTGTACAATGAATGCCAAATGTTAACTGTACAATGAATGCCAAATGTTAACTGTACAATGAATGCCAAATGCTATCTGTACAACGAATGCCAAATGTTAAGTGTACAATGAATGCCAAATGTTAAGTGTACAACGAATGCCAAATGTTAAGTGTACAACGAATGCCAAATGTTAACTGTACAATGAATGCCAAATGCTAACTGTACAATGAATGCCAAATGTTAACTGTACAATGAATGCCAAATGTTAAGTGTACAACGAATACAATGCCAAATGCTAACTGTACAATGAATGCCAAACTGTGCCAAATGTTAACTGTACAATGAATGCCAAATGTTAAGTGTACAATGAATGCCAAATGCTAACTGTACAAACGAATGCCAAATGCTAACTGTACAATGAATGCCAAAAAGTGTACAATGAATGCCAAATGTTAAGTGTACAATGAATGCCGAATGCTAATACAATGAATGCCAAATGCCAAATGTTAAGTGTACAATGAATGCCGCCGAATGCCAAATGTTAACTGTACAATGAATGCCAAATGTTAACTGTACAATGAACAAATGTTAAACAATGAATGCCAAATGTTAAGTGTACAATGAATGCCAAATGTGTACAACGAATGCCAAATGTGTACAATGAACGAATGCCAAAATGTACAACGAATGCCAAATATTAACTGTACAATGAATGCCAAATGTTAACTGTACAATGCCAAATGTTAACTGTACAACTAATGCCAAATGTTAACTGTACAAACGAATGCCAAATGTTAACTGTACAATGAATGCCAAATGTTAACTGTACAATGAATGTTAACTGTACAATGAATGCCAAATGTTGTGTACAATGAATGCCAAAAATGTTAAGCCAAATGTACAACGAATGCCAAATGTTAAGTACAATGAATGTGTACAACAATGAATGCCAAATGTTAAGTGTACAATGCCAAATGTTAATGCCAAATGTTAACTGTACAATGAATGCCAAATGTTAACTGTACAATGAATGCCAAATGCTATCTGTACAACGAATGCCAAATGTTAAGTGTACAATGAATGCCAAATGTTAAATAACAAACCTTAATGCCAAATGCCAAATGTTAAGTGTACAATGAATGCCAAATGTTAATGCCAAATGCCAAATTAACTGTACAACGAATGCCAAATGTTAAGTGTACAATGAATGCCAAATGTTAAGTGTACAATGAATGCCAAATGTTAAGTGTACAACGAATGCCAAATGTTAAGTGTATCAAAATGACTAGTTCCATTATTATTATTATTACCATTACCTTGCTCAAGTGCTCACTCTTTTCTCCAGCTATTGCAGTATGCTACTGATGAGATATTTGCCAAGATAAATAACTACCCTACATAAGATAACGAAAAATCTGACATTCACACCTATGTTTAAGAAATTCCACATGCTCTTTTTAACAGCAGATATAAAAGAGATTTTTGTGCAATAATGATTGATTAGAAACATGAAATAGATTGATGTGACAAATGTGTTAATACTACAAAAATGATTTAATAGTAGAGAAAAAAACTGAATTCAACTAAAAATCACCTAAGAAAGTGAAAAAAATAAGAGGAAATATGTATGAAAAAGATTCTTTTACCTTTTTTCTTACAATAATCTACACAGAGGATTTGTTCATTTGAAACATAACCAGGATGATTCTCAAGACTCAGTAAATAATTTTCCTCATGATCCAAATCAAACATTCTGAAAGAGAAATCCATACATATAAATATTGGCTAAGACTTCAATAGTCTGGCACAAGGTCACAAAAACAGAGCACACTACAAGAATTGAACTCAATACAATAATAAATATGCACATGGCTGAGTAGTTAGAACTTCCCTTTCTGACCATGAGACCCGAGTTCAAATCTCACCATGGTCGATTGGGCAGGAAGATGACTTATTATTGATGTTATTAGACTGGCGATCCCAATATGCAGCACTGTTGGAAAGTGACTGAAAACCATACAACTATTTGGAATCCATTTGGTAGACAGAAGTGTTTGTCAATGGTTGTACTAGTACAAAGTTGCAAGTCATTGTGACCAACAGTTTGAGCATACCAGCCTTGATCAGATTGTTAATCAAACCAGGTAATATGCTCTCTCCCAGGAACTATAACTAGGGTCCACTCAGCATAGTTGCATTATAAACAGCAGGTTGGCTCTGTAAGAGTTGAACAAATAGAAATGTGACTGAGCAGGCGACTGCAACAGGGATTAACTACTACCATAGATAGAAATGCAAAATACAGGGCAGATTTTATGTCCATTGAGCAAACTTTCAACAGTGTCAGAAATTATTGTTAGGAAGGGAATACCCAATGCTGTAAACTTGGATGTGCAGGTGGTGTAATGGATAATGGCTCGGAATTGTTAATCAGATAGCTGAGTTCCAATTCCAGTTGGGTTTGTCATATTCACTTACCCTTGGGAAAAGGTAAAAATTTTCCTCTTTTCTCTTCCCTAGGCTATGTACATCTTGTATCACTAAACTATTGTTATCGCTGAAAAGAAATTCTTACTATCTAAATATATTTTCCAGCTTTAAATAAGCTGCAAAAGTTTGATAAGCTATAGAAAATGAATCAATCAGTCAATGAAATACTGATTAGCTACACTGGCATGTCTTTTAGATTTATTTATATTCTCTGGAATAAAAATGTATAGAAAGTACTGTGGTCACAAAGTGAGGGATCAGTTTATATATTGGTCACAATATAGAATAGATCCTGTACTTTATATCCACATTATAATTTCTTGTTTGTTTATCAAATTATGATTAAGCATGAATCAACCTCTCCCTCACAAATATGGGTTAATTAGTAAGACTTGTATCACTAAACCATTATCTAAAAAAAAAAATTCTTACTATTTAAAATATTTTCTGGCTTTAAATAACCTGCAAAGGATTGATAAGCCATAGAAAACAAATCAATCCATCAATAAAATACAGATTAGCTACACAGGAACATATTTTAGAGTTGTGGAATATAAATGTATAGAAACTATCGTGGCCACAAAGTGAGGGACCAGTTTATATATTGAATGTAATGTAGAATTGATCCCCCACTTTATATCCCCATTATAATTTCTTGTTTATCAAATTATGATTAGGTATGAATCCGCCTCTTCTCCCCCTGAGCTATGGGTCAACTTGTAAAACTCGTATCAGTAAAATCATTATTATCTCCCCAAAAAAATTCTTACGATCTAAAAATATTTTCTGGCTTTAAATAATCTGCAAAGGGTTGATAAACCATAGAAAACAAATCACTCAAATGCTGATTAACTATACAGGCATATCTTTTAGATTTATTTACAGTCTCTGGAATATGAATGTATAGAATCTACAGTGGTCACAAAGTGAGAGATCAGATTATAGATAGATTGTGATATAGAATTGACTCCCCACTTTATATCCACATTATAATTTCTTGTTTATCAAATTATGATTAAGCATGAATCTAGCTCTTCTCCCCCAGACATGGGTTAATTTTTAAGGTTGCTGAAGATTAGGTTTATTTATTAGGTTTATAATACCCAGAAATTCATACACAGATGTCCTCAAGGACACATGGCACAGGGGATAAAGGGGTTAATTAGATCCAGTGACAGGACCCAAAGCGTGTGAGTTCAATAAGGCAGTGGAGAACTTGGAGAGGGGAATTAGCAGGAGATAACTGACATCCATTAAACATGGCACGTGGAACTAGAACAGTCTACACCAGTGAGCGAAATAAAGGGTTCAGTTCGACATTCCAACCACCTGAAAAAGGCTGGAGCATACAAACGTTGTAATAAATATGGCAACAAAGATAAGGACAATAGTCTGAATAATGTAAATAGTGAACTTGCAAAGGGTTGTATAAGACATAGAAAAAAAATCAGTCTATCTTGAATTGTTTCAATATTTTTTTAGGTACCAATTTTACATTGGCCACTAGGATCACTTCTTTTTTTACTACTACTACTACAGTTTGCTTTCAGAGAAAAAAATTAAAAAAATAGAGTCAATAAGTTTGAAAAATATACAAAGAATTTATTAACATACAATTTCAGACATACAGTTGATACACCTACCAATTTTTAATTTACAGCGTTTTAGACTTCTATTTAATACAAGCAGTCAATTTATCACATCACAAGTCCTGCAACCCATTAGGATTGTCCAAGTCACAAGTGTACTATGGCTGCAGCATCAGTGGTGTGTCTAGGGCAAGATAAACTGATGCTCATTCCTCTTGAGGTTGGTTTTGAATTCAGAGTTTTCCTTCTCTGAGACTGGCTACCACTCTATAGCTAGAGATAGATGGATTCATGCCTTTGAAAAAGGCATTACAGATAAGTGAACATAACCCAATCAAGCAGGAATTGAATTCTGGCATGCTAAATTCATTTTCTACATCAATAACTTTTACACTTTCAACACCTCCAGTCAGTTTCTCACTATGTTCTGAAATCTATTACCAACTCTATTCATCAATGTCTATTTCTTTGGCCTTTCTTTTTGTCGTCATATCCATTACTTGACATCATCAAATCATTCTGTTTCTTTCTTGCGTTTTCACAAATATTTTTTGCAATAAATAAAAAAGGGCGAACATCAATAAAAAAGATTTCTTTTTCTATTTATTTCTTTATAAAATGATAAATAAATATTTATAAAAAGCAAAGATTTTTTTATAATCTTGTGAATAAACATTGCCGAGGGAATGTAGTTACAATAAGATTTTTTTTTCAAAGTATTCATCCTTCTTCTCTTATGTGTTTTTGTCTGATAAAAATTAATAATGAACATTGTTTGTTTTTCTGTAACAACAGGCACTCCTTCGCATTTGGCAATTATTAGCAATCTGGTCTCACTAATATTATAAACCCATGTATGGTAGCCTAGAAGAACAAATGAAGAAACAATATTATCTCTGAGGTAAAAGGAAAAGAAGACAACTGTAAATATAAAATTCTTTTGTATTGCAAATACACCTGATGCATGCAGAATGTCTCTAATGTAGGCAGCTTTTAACAGAAGGGTAGAGTTGCTAATCCTTGGAGTTGATGCATTTGTCAGGTCAGATGACCAAAGTCATAGTTATTTCGAGAGAGGCCTGGAGTAGATTATTGAAATTTGCCAAGAATCTGTTCTTGCTGATACAGAGGATGCGAATGGAATGTCTATGTGAGCATGGTGTGTAGGGAGGGTGTGTCCTGCATGGATATGTGTGTCAGGTCACTTGACCAAAGTCATCGTCGTGACATTGAGAGCATGCTAGTCATCAACAGCTCATTATCCTTGCTTCTGCTTGTGTAGTCAGTCTATAAGTGGCTTTCTTAAAAGAAAATTGTAGAGGTTTTGAAAATCATCTTTTGCTCATATTTTTTTCTGGCAATAATGTTCATAATTGATTTATTCTAAGTTGTTACTTTATATTTTAAAGGGATTTGTTTTGTGGGCCAGATGTAATGCTCGGAGTTCATGCACAGAGGACAACTTTTTATTTTGGGTTTCTCTTTCTTAATGGTCACATCTGGCCAATATGTAAAGTGAATCAAAAAGAGATATAATTTGAAGCAGAGTATACCATTAATAAGTAGTGAGAAGATCCATTGTTATAAATACACAAGGCATACTCAGTGGCACTTAAAGTGAGTAAACACCATGTTACTAAAACAATGGAAGTTTAAAAAAAAATTTAATTATATATACAGGGCACAATGGGTAAATTGTTGACATTTTATATTTTTAATTTTGTGTATGCGTTTATTTTCAATTTTGTTGACTGCACATTATAGTAGGGTCAGTTAGGCACCATTTGCAAGAAAAGAGCACCATGACGCAATTCAGTTCACCAGAAATTTGAAAACAGTATGTTGTACATTACAGCTTTGCATTTGAGTCAGAAGATCCAATACGAACATTTCTGAATGTTTGGGTGTTAATTTGAGAAGAGTGCAGAGGATTCAGAAAGAGTTGGAGGAGTCTAATGGTTATTATGGAGGTGATGGCGATGTTATGCCATCATTAATCTTCCCACAAGGCCTCAGACTCAACATGGAGACTTAGATCAAGTGCCTTGAGGAGGTAGTGCTGACTTGGTCAAGAGAGTAGCTGCTGGAAGACCTTATATTTGGGAACAGGACTCTGCACAATGCCACAAAAGCAGTAGAACCCAGTCATAGTTGCCAAACAATTTTTGTAACCACATCACCCCTTACATCTGGCAACCTAACTCTCTAGATTGCAACCCCCTTCATTATTATGTGTTGGGTGCAGTTGAGCGAGATACCAATAAAACTCCTTGTAAACACCAAAGATGAACTGAAGGCAAGGATTATGGCAGCATTCACAAACTTAAGCAAGGAGACTGTCCAGAAGAGTTTCAGGAGATTCTGAAGTCATCTGGAGGCCATGGTTGAAGCCAATGGCAATTTTATTGAATAAATGTAGTCTTTAGTACTTCAAGATATTTTTGTGTCATTTTGGTAAATATATCTGTTAAAATGAGATGTCAGGGTTATTTTCATTTTTGCATGATTTAAATGAAAGTTTATCCATAACACCCTGTGTGTGTGTGTTTTGCCAGAATATTTTTCTTTAAGAACATTTGTGGAGATGCACACTTACTTGACACAAGTCAGATAGTGCAATCATCTCTCAGTTGCATCTCTTCAGGCAGAGTGGAACTCAGTTGTGACTTTGTCCGGGACAGAAATGCAGCTGGGTAAATAATACTAAGAGGTGCCCGGTCCTGGAAAACAGCCGCCCATGGCAGTACCCCCCTTATTGCACTAGAAAGGGGGATTGGTAGTCATATCAATGCCAGCACAACCAAAGGTTGTGGGAGCTGGGCAATCTTTAGCCCAGGTGTATGTGCTCAGGTGTGCCACATTAAACCCAACCATGTGTCACATCACATCACCGTGAGAAGACAGTTAAGAAAATTTGCTAAACTTCATAGAAATTTATAACCAACCCTTTGAGTTCCTTTTAAAAGCAGTTCATGATACAAAATGCCTTTCAAATGACTTTCTATTCAATTAATAGTAGCTACAGATAATGAATTTCCTATTAATAGAAAAACAGCCTTATCTCAAGAACCCTTTGTTTAATTTTAA